TACATTTGTATCTATACCTATACCTGTGTCTATATCTCTACTTCTATCTGTATCTCTATCTATATATGTATATACGTATATATATATATATATGTAATACATATATATATATATATATATATATATCTGTATCTGTACATATATCTGTATCTACATCCAGATATAATATAGATCTGAAACCAATATCTATATCTATATATACATGTGTATGTATAGCTGCATCAGTATGCATATCTGTACCTGAGCCTATATCTATATCTACCTGTGAGCATACTACAATGCATATGACTTACGTATGCATGCAAGTATGCATGTACGTATGTATCTATGTAGGCATGTATGTATGTATGTATGTATGTATGTGTCGAACACATAGGTTGTGGCAGACATCTTACGGCTCCAACACTTTGGAGTCCGAGCATCGTCTTGGAGAGTAGCAATTCTCAATGTGCAGCAATGCAGCTTTTCCGACAGACAAAAGCCTACAAATGCCACAAGTTTAAGGTTCACGTAAACCCATGAGAGCTCAGGGTTTCCGGCTTTTCGGTTAGGGCTTCGGGCTCGGGACCCTGAAAAGGTAGAGTTTAGGGCCAAGTCGAGAGTTGAAACTCTAAGAGTTCTCACTTCCAAAGCGCAAAATTACGGCAGCCGTCGAAACCATGAAAGCAAAAAGGTCTTGGACCTTAGGAATTTGCAGTCTCCAGGATGTGGAGGTTTGGCACACTGAAGGCTTTCATGCACAAGGAGCGGAATTATGGAATCTTGGAAATGCTTGGAAAGTTTAGGGGCTTCGAGCTTTTGAAGCGCCAATCTCCAAAAATGAAACCTGAAACCCTTCCTTCACACTACTCATATTGGGCCGTCCTCAGGTCTCACAGACGCGGGAAGCTCACGCCGTTTTGCGGTATTTTGTCTTCGCTACTGAGTCTTTTTTTGCGGGTCATGTGCAAGCTTTTGTTGAAGAGACGAAGGCCACATGACGAACAGTAGCTTTTCTACTACTACTACTACTACGACGACGACTACTACTACTACTACTACTGCTACTGCTACTGCTACTACTACGACGACGACGACTACTACTACTACTGCTACTGCTACTACTACTACTACGACGACGACGACTACTACTACTACCACTACTACTACTACTACTACTACTACTACTACTACTACTACTACTACTATTACTACTATTACTACGACTACGAACTTGCGACTGCGACTACGACTTCGACCACGATCGCGACGGCGGTTACGACCACGACTACGACGACTACGGCTACGACTCGACGACGACGACATCTACGATGACACTACGACTGCGACTAGTAGTAGTAGTAGTAGTAGTAGTAGTAGTAGTAGTAGTAGTAGTAGTAGTAGTAGTAGTAGTAGTAGTAGTAGTAGTCCTACTGCTATCGCTAAAACCGCACAATTCTTAGGCCTGTGACCACTATATCAATACTAAAACTGGCATGAAGAGAACTGCATTTGCTCTGTAACCAAAGCCTCCAAGACCCCTTAATTAAGGAATATACCTTCAATCATAACAGGATCTATTATGATTTAAGGGTACACTCCTTAGTTAAGGGATATTGGACTCTCTGGGTCTGTAGACGAGTCGGGTGTTTCAGTGTTTCAGCCTGCCATTGCAGGCCCAGCCAGGGGGCTCCTCAGAAGAGACCCTCGAATCTTGGAATGCCAACTTAGAGGATCATGGGACTTAGTAAGTAAGGTTATAAGTACCTTAATTGGGGTGAGAAGTAGTTATAAGCATAGTTACCCTAGTTATGACCCTAGTTACTAAGCCCCATGATCCTCTAAGAAGAGTCTGTATGTTTCCATGTGCTGCACGTTGAAGTTCCGGGTTCAGGGTTTAGGGTCCATGCTCAGAGGGAATTGTGGTCCATTCCGGTTCAGGGCCGTCGCATGCGACGATCCTGACTGCACACCAGGCTTTGAGGGCGATCAGGACATCACCTGCGAAATCACCATTTCCGCCGAGCTTCTGGGCTGCGACTACCCTTTTTGCTTTTGGAGGAGCTAAGGAGCCAGGGACCATGATAATCCCTATTGAATAAGGAGCTAAAGAGCCAAGGGAACCCCAGAACCACTGGTCAGGTGATATTGCGGATTTTCTGTAGCGCTTGAGTTCATAGGGTCGGCTGGGGAGATGGGAGCAGGATCCTTGCATCCTTCAGGAAGTTTGCCAGGCCTACATCTTCCCATGTTCTACTCAGTCCATAAACACAAGTTGGTTGGGCCAGGAATGGTGTGGATCAGATACTATAGGGGCCTGAATAATTACCAATACTATTTTGGGGGTTCCTTATTATAATGGGCCCCAAAACCCTATTCTAATTATTAAGGCCCCTTTTTGGCTTGCCCTCCCCCGCTGATCTTCTGCACGTGGAGCGACTCCGATTCTTGTGCCAGCTTGTCACGAGCGCGCCGGACGAGGCCTGGGCTTTATTACAAAATGCACCTCGTATGTTGAGTGCAATGTGGGCGGCCATTTCGTGGTTCCAGGAGGCGCTCTCTAATACCACTGGACTGGGTGGCGTTCTGGAGAACTGGGCACAGTGGTGCGACCTAATGCGTAACTCTCCGGGCAAGTGGAAGGGTATGATCAAGCGTGCTGTCGCGTGGCACATTTCGCGACATGAAGGTCGTGCTGGTCTTGAGGCTTGCCTGAGGTCGTGCTGGCGCGCAACACCACGTCCCCGGGCCTCATTTGAACAGCTACAGCATGCTTGTGTACGTTGTGGCGTGGCTTTTTGTGATTTCCAGGCGTGGTCGGCTCACGCGGCTAGGGCGCACAAGTACAAGGCCAGGCACAGAAGGTATGCAGAGGGAGTCCGTTGTCGGGCTTGCGGGGCGGTGTTTCCGCAACACCGTCGACTCGTAACACATCTCAAGCTCTCTCTGAGATGTTGCCAGGCGATAGCTCTGCGGAAGCCAGGGCTCTTGCCAGTTATGTCTTGTCCGGAGGGGCCGGCTCAGGCCTTGCTTCAGGTGGGCCCTAGCGAGCTGCATGACTTCGGACGAGCAAATACACGCGTGCCTTGTGGATTTCATCGAGCCCTTCCCTGTAATCCGGCAAACACTCGTCCAGTGGATCGCTACGCTGCCAAGTGGTGCGATACGCGAGTGGGCCGAGGATGTTCTGTTGTGTTGGCAGGTCGACCTTTTGTGCGAGCGTGTGTCCTTTGCCAAGCGGGTTGAGGAGATTGCTGAACATGGTGATACGGGTTTTTGCCCTTGCATACAGTCTCTCCTCTTGCTCCCGGATGTTGCGGCGCGTGCGGTTCTAGTTGTCGAGGCTCTGTCTTTGGAGCAGCAGTCTCTGCTTTCTGCTGCTCGGTTCGTGGCCGATGCTCGCATGGATTTCGGTGCCGCCGAGGTTGACTTGTCCTCCTTTGGATCGCTCCTCATACACTTCCCGGCTCCGCCTTTACCTGGGGCTCCGTTCTGGGAGTTCCCTTCTTGCCCTCTCAAGGCATTTCGCCCCTATCACTCATGGCTTTCCTCTGTCTTTCCGTGGATTCTCGGGCGTTTCACGGGACTGTTCTTTGCTTTTCCCCGACAGCAAGGCGGTTCTCTTTTTGAATGGCTTGATAGCACAGCGGCTGCTGCCGGCTTGAGCTCGTCACTCACGGTCTGTTTCACCTCGAATTCGTTTTGTGCTAGCGGTACGTCCTGACTGGGACTTATCACCGCGCGAAGAAGAAAAAGGCCCCTTTATCATAGTACCCTTTTTCGAAGCCTTATGGTGGCCCTTTCCTTTTAAGGAACCCTATTCTAATTATTAAGGCCTCTATATTACAGTGCTTGCAGCTCCCTCCTATAAGGCGTCCCTTGCCGGCGGGTGCTTTGCCGTTTCCTACGAATTAGTGCAATAATGTAAGGGCCTTAAGAAGTAGAATAGGGTTTTGGGGTTCCTTATTATAATTATAGTATAATATCACCCAAACCCTATTCTTCTTGTTGAGGCCCCATAGTAGCTCCCCAGCATCCTCTGAAGTGATTTTTCCCGCCAAACCGGATTGACTCAGTCTTAGGGTGTAGGCTGAGACTCTCCACCGTGCGCGGCCTCTTCTCTCAAACGATGCCGCCCGTTGTTGCAACCCTGAAGCCTAAATCCTAAACCCTATAAACCCTGAACCCTAAATCCTCATCGGCTCAGTCTGCGTCGAACCTAGGGAGGGCCTTTCTCCTGAGCTTATCAAGTGGGTCCACGACATGCCCCTCACGGCGCCAGAGCGACGCCAAATCATCGACAAGTTCAGGAGTGGAGGCCAGGCCAGTGTTTCAGTGTTATTGCTTGGAGTGTTTCAGTATTATTGCTTGGAGGATGTCGAAGATCGCGGGATGGCAGGCATGCATTTGGCAATTTCCGCTTCTCCTATTCTTGGATCCGCAGCCTCCCCATGAAACTTATGGAGCCGCTGGCCTCTAATCCCTCAACCCCAACGAAAAAACCCCAAACGCCAAACCCCAAGCCCATCCAAACCCCAAATCCTAAACCCTAGACCCTAAAGCCAAACCTCAAACCCTAAACGCCGAATCTGACGAGGCGTCTTCGACATGAAGCAACTAGCGGGGGTAATACCGACGGACTTTCCCTTCGACGGGGACCAGCCCTTTGATGCACTTGGCTACTACCGGGTTTGAGGTTGTTCGTAGAAGGCTACTATAAGGTCATTATACGGATACCATAAGGTTAGCATAAGGTTTTTATCGTAGTGTAGGATAACTATAGGACCACTGTCAGGTTGCGTACTGCAAGGGCTCCCCACTTGGAGCGCCTGCATAGTGAGGGAGGATGTCGGGAGTGCAAGTTTTCGCAGCTGAGGAAGTCCAGGGACCTCTTCTATGCGAAGCTGGATTTGGCCACGCTCTCACGCCTCCCCTTCCTCGAACATTGTCGAAGCTCCGAAACCATATCCTGAACTTGTTAGGATTCAGGGTCCAAGACGTTGGGATGTCCATGACGTCTAATGCAGGCCAAGAACCAGCAGCAGACAGCGCTGGAGGGGAACCAGGCGAACCAGGAAGCGGAAAGTGGAGAAGACAATCGTAAGGAACTCTTTGACGAGCAGTTGCAAAAGGCGCAGCGGGTGGCTTCCCAGGGCTTTTCCAAGCAGCTAGGGTAGATGAGCAGCGATGAGGGAGTCATGGCGTTAGAGATCCTGACTGTGAAACAGTGGTGAAGCCAGCATGTAGGGGCTGCAACATGCAGGGTGCGCTTTCCTGAAGCTAGGACATGAAAGTGTCGACCTGGATTCTAGGCTTCCTTGCCTACCGTTCACAAGCGGTACGACTCCCCCAACAGGCGGAAGCGCAGAATGCGGGAGTGAAAGAGGCCCGGCAAAACCTGCAGGAGATCGCCAACGAGCTTGCCCAGGCGATCCCTTAAAGGAACCTTTACGGGAGCCTTCAAAGGAACCCTTATACGTCCCTTCTAAAAGGAGGAACCCATGAAGGAACCCTTATAGTTCCCTGAACTGAGCCCTTCTGGATATTTGCAGTGTTTAGGGCTTAGGAAGCTAGGAATGGTATAATATGGGAGCCTGATCTAAGAAACCCTGGGTCTTTTCATATGAAGCCTATCCTTTCGAGGTTGTAGGACCCAGGTTTCTTGGTCAGGTTCTTACATTAGAGTTATGGATATAGTACTATATTATATTAGGGTGCATTGTAGCATATTCGAATATGATGTAATTTACTGCAAAGGGTGGATCACACGCTCTTGCCACAGTTTGTCTTCGAACAATGCTGGAAAAGCATGGCAGGGCCGATGTTTTCTCATGTTAGCATTGTTCAACATGGCGTTACCGTTATGACGATATGCGGAACGAGAAAGGCAACAACTCCAGTCTTGCCAAGCGGAAATATCTGATGATGTCAAGAGGGGAACTGTAACGGGCATGGATGCATTGGCCAATGGATGGGTTGGTAGCATGGACATTATCATGGTTTGGGCATGGATGCACTGGCCGATGGATGTGTTGGCAGCATGGACGTTATCATGGTTTGGGCATGGATGCGCTGGCCAATGGATGGGTTGGTAGCATGGACGTTTTCATGGTTTGGGCACGATGCAGACCTCAACGACAGAGAACACGGGGCAAACGATGGTACCTTATTTTGGGATCCTTATAACAGAGATCCTACCATTTAGGGTACTGTAATATCTAGGGTCCCCTGTTTTCGGAAACTCCCAAATAGGCGTAGGGGGTTTGATGCAAAGAAACGGGTCTCAGACCGCAAAGCTGCTTCTCACGTAGCTGTTCCAACCCAGGGTTCGACAAAGCAAGTCGCTTTTGCTCAGATTCAGCAACAATCCTACGCCCTACTATAGTATGTCGTAGTATTTCATACATTGTAGTATATTGCAGTTTAGTATAGTACACCTTAGAGCCTAACAATAATCTCTAAGTTTCATGCCCCAAGAAGAGGGAAAAGCAGAACTGTTCAGACATCAAGATGTCAGAGGTGCTCGCGTGACACCAAGACAGCCTGCAGCAGCCTCACCATGCTTACATGTTTGCTCCAGGCCCACTAAACCCTAAACCCTAAAGCCTGAGCCCCACCAGATCCCTCGAAAACATCCTCGTTAAGTCCCCAACATCTTCGGGCAGTCTGGCAGCTCAGACGTCAGCGAGAGGGCAAAGGAGCAGTTGCAGGTGCCACCTGGGTTTAGGGTTTAGGGTTTAGGAGCCTTTCAGAGCTTAAGGTGTTGGGCGCAGCAGCTTGTGCTAATCATGGGCAGAAGCATGCAGGTGAGGAGGTGGCTTGGAGCTTCCTCCACTTTGCAAGTTATCTGGAGGGTGGTCAGTGCAGGATCAGAAGGCTGAAGGTTTGAGAAACAGCCACCTTTGAGAGATGTTCAATTGGGCACAGGCGTGTCGTGTGTTCGGAGAGCAGTGCCACGCATGAAGCACCGTATTCCTGACTCAGCACTGATTTCTCCAGGAAGCCCTTGCCAAGCTGGACGAAATTGCTCTAGAAGATGCGGATCTCAGCACCGGCAGCTTGGTTCACGCCCTGGCCCGCCAAAGTTGTTGAAGTAGGTTTATAGACTTTAGATACTATGCCATGTCTTACTATACTATAAGAAAGGATACAATATTATCATATATTATACTTTATTATACTATTTTGGTTTGCTACATTATTACATTGTAGTATAATATTCTATGTTGCCGCACTCTTTGGCAGCTTTTAGCCGATCTCCCGAGTTCGATAGGACTCAGCCCAAAAGCCCCTCGAAGAGCCGTGGGATTTTGGACGAAGGCACTTAAAGGATCATGGGACTTAGTAACTAGGGTTATAAGTAAGATAACTATACTTACATTGATGTCCATTATACTTATAACCCCAATGAAGGTACCTAGAACCTTACTTGCTAAGTCCCATGATCCTCCGAGCAGGTGCGTTCCTTTGAGACCGTTGTGGTCGGGGGTTTTCAAGCAAGCAGTGTTTGCTTGTTTTGTATATAGGTGGTTCTCGAAACTAGGGTCCTGTTCTAGGTCCACACAACGGTACGGAACCCTGACAAGAAGGATCCCAAAAGGGACTCTAAGTTAGAGAACTGCCTTTGTAGAAGCTGTAGACCTTTTGTCTGAAAAGACTGTGTCCCATCTACAGCCAAGATGCTGCACAAGAGCGGCTGGCACCTTGGCAGCAAAGCCGTCCTAAACCTAAACCGCTAAACCCCGAAACCCCTAAACCCTTAAACCCCTAAACCCCGAAGCGCAACGTTAGATATTTGGGAATCTAGAGCGAAAAGCAGTAAGCCGCTTGCCAAGAGCTGCTTGGAACCCGCCCGGGGGCTTCCGCTGAAACCTCGAGAAGCATGCAACCCGCGCTCTTCCCAGAGCCTCCAAAACCCCTTAATTAAGGAATATACCGAATATACCTTAAATCATAATAGGATCCCTAATATAGTTTAAGGTATATTCCTCAATTAAGGGGTTGGTTCCAAACCCATGATCGCGTTTAGGGTTTAGGGTTTAGGTCGTGTTTATCATGGTTCCCCCAAAAGAATAAACAGACCGGCTAGTAGACCTTCTTAAATACTTCCTACTAAGGGATATAGGTATAGGGCTCTGTCTATTGTTTCTAGAAGGACAAGGGTGCTTCCAAACCCATGATCAAGGTCGTGTTTAAGCCCTTAATATATCAGTTACTGTAGATTTTATACTATAGACTACATATTACATACTCTAGGTTGTACATCATATACTGTAGACTATATAATGCGTACTCTAGCTCTCATATTATATACCCTAGACTATATGTTCTGAACTGTAGTATTTGTATTTTCTAAAACCACTGGTTTTAAGGCGCCCCTGCCCGAGCCCCAAGCCTTGCCCGAGCCGAAGCCCACTTTTGCAGGATCCCAAAAAAAGAAGATCCCCATTAAAGTTCCTCTAAAGTACACTGAGTAGTATAGGGCCCCAACTTAGGCGATCTACTTTCCTCCAAACCCTAAACCCTAAACCCAACCTTTACTAGATCCTCCTGCGGGGGTCTGGGGAGCCGAAACCGAGGATTCCAAGATCGGTTCTGGCGGCGTCACTCTGGGGCGGCAGCTGAAAACGCTGGAGCTGGTGAATTATTTCGGTGCACCAGACTCATAAAGGATGCGTTTTAGGGTTTAGGGTGGTGAGAACAGCATATGCCGACCCTCAAAACTAGGACGACAGCACTCCGTGCATTTTTAGATGGAGCTTGCATCGAATTTCTAGACACGCTAGCAATGAAGAAAGACGTGGAATCCTGACCAGCAGGGCGCCCCTCAAGAGCCAGACAAAGTAGACCTTCCAGGAGCTTAGCTCAGAGCTGTAGGGGGTTTAGGGTTTCGGGTGTATAGGGGTTTAAGAGCAACAAGATAGCCTGTAGGGAGCTCGCCGTGCAGTTCTAGATGGCACGAGCCCCAAACTTTGAAGTTCCATGGGCCCTGCTATACCATGCTCACACAAAGCAGAGCCTACCTTCCACAGCGACGAAGGAAATAGAATCTTTGAACCGTTCGGCTTTTGTGCAGTGAAGACTTTACCCGGCCTCTAACCTTCTTCGCGATGACAAGCAATGCATGGCTTCACATGCATCAGAGTCACAGGTCTGTGCACATCGTGGATTCTGCATATTGAAGGGGCGCAAAAACAAACTAGAAGGTCAGACTTATCATGGCTTGATAATCGGAAATAAGGTAAGATGAAAGTAAACTCATGAACTCACGTCGTATAGTATGATACCGTACGATACATCATAATATGTGATGGCATGATATGTTATAATATGTCACATCATGTTATGATACCGTGTTTGATCATATTATACCATCTGATATCATATCAGATCATAACATATTCTATTGTACTGTACTATTGCATTGTAACGTATTTAATCATATTGCATCATGTGATACTGTACTTCACCACAGCATATCCTATCATATCATGTATAATCTGATCTTACTTTGCCTTATCTTGTCTTATCTTATGCCTAAACCCTAAGCCCTAAACCCTCACCCTCACCCTCAACCCTCAGCCCTAAACCCTCAACCCTAAACCCTATCTTATCTTTGCTACGTTTTTGCGACTTTTTGTGCTGAGGTCTGCTTCGTGGAGTGCTCGTCCGGGACAGGCCTGAGGACGGAGGTGTGCCGATCGACCATTTGGGGCAGCTTGGCACCATGGGTTTAGGGGGTTTAGGGGTTCCTTTAAGGGTTGCTTTAAAGGGTTCCTGTAAGGGATCTATAGGGTTTAGGGTTTAGGGAGTTTCCAAGAATTAGGAGTGCCTTCTTTTGGGGTCCTTACAACAAGGATCCCACTATTTAGGGTACCATATTCGGTACCCCTATTTTCGGTAACTCCCACATGGGTTTAGGGGGTTTAGGGGTTTAGGGTTGGGGGTTTAGGGATTAGGGATGGGTTCACGGTTTGGGTGTATCGGGTTTGGGGTTTAGATTTAGAACTTAAGGTTGAGGGTTTACGGTTTACGGTATAATGAACCGCACTCGCAAGGTGTTTGGCCGGAAGTGGTCAGGCTCTGGGGGTTTAGGGTTTGGCAATTAGCTTTGTGGTGCCCCAACATTCTAAACCCCAGCGACAGCTAAGATCTTAAGCATGGCTTGTAGCACACACTGGTGGTTGCACGCTTTTGGCAGGTTAAACGGCTCGGCGCACTCGCGGGCTACACATAACAAAGACTTCACGCGGTAAGACACCGGGAACCAGATCCAGCTGAGGGGAAACCCGGGTGTCTGTCACGCGGCATGATGAACCAGACCCCAAAAAGTCAGGTGCATCGCTGATGATGCAGACGAGCATGTTCAAACAGCTGCGCAGCGTTGAAGTGGTTCTGTGTGAGGTCGCTGCCCAAACTTCGACGGAGACTGTGTGGAAGCTGACGAAGTTGCAAGGTGAACGCATTTTGGAGACCATCTCCATGTCTGGCAGGATCTGGACCCACAGCTTGGCAGAACAAGGCGAAGATTCAGATTTTTTGAGCAGCTCCAAAATCTGAGAAGATAGGCCTAAACCCTAAACCCCCCAAGAGCTCTGTTCCATTGGAGCTGTGACGTCACTGGACGAGAGCGACCCTTCAAGTGCAAAACCAGTGTGTAGCAGACGCCAGCAAACCCTGAGACTCTCGACCCTTTTCCCCTAATTAAACCCTAAACCCTTTGCGCCCTTTCGTACAAAGTCGTTGGCGTCTCTGTGGGCTTGGAAGGTCCGGAAGAAATCCTGAAACCTAAAACCCTAGCCTAAGGCTCCTAGGAGGGTTTTGGGCTTACAGTAGAAGCCAGAAAGTTGGAATATGATTATCCTAAACCCTTTATAGTAAATTATAAGGTATCCTACCCTGAAACCATATTCCAACTTTCTGGAGTTCCCGATAAGTCTAAACCCGCCTAATATAGGGGCCTTGGCAATTAGAATGGGGTTCGGGGGTATATTGTACAAAAATAGTAATAAGGACCCCCAACACCTCATAATCAAGGCCTCTACGTTAAACCTTCAGTTTCTAAGCGCCCGTAAACGCGTTGATGGCCGCTAAAACCTTCTTATCCTGGTGTTACCTTAAACCACAAAAACCGGAAAGCCTTCTAAGTAACCCCAAGCCCGTAAAACCCTGGAGTTACTAGGGTTTCGAAGTTCAGGGTTTCAGGGTTTAGGGTTCAGGGCCCAAAACCCTTAAAACCTGGGGTTAGGGTTTAGAGGTTTAGGGCTTTAGGGAGCTACCCTGACCTTCCAAAATCCCTTAATTAAGGAATATAACTTAGATCATATTATGGATCCTACTATAATTTCAGGTATATTCCGTAGCTCAGGGATTTTGGAAGGTCTGGGTACCCTTAGGGCTTTAGGGAGGGGTTCCTTTCAATGGATCTATAACGGTTACGGTTGCTATAAGGGATCGAAAAGGGTACTACAATACTCCCCAGAGAGCGCAATTCCCCTTTATTAAGGAATATCGTTTAAATCATGCCCCCTTATAGTTTAAGCTCTATTCCGTAATTAAGGGGTATTGGGCTTTCTGGGTCTACTCTAATATAATCGAATAATACTAACCCTACACCCTAAACCCTAGACCCTAAACCCTAGACCCTAAACCCTAAACCCTAAACCCCAGACCCTAAAACCCCACACCCTAAACCCTAGACCCTGAAACCCCACACCCTAAACCCTAGACCCTAAACCCTTAACCCTAATATTTTCGATGCTTCCAGAGACTCCAGTATCCCTCAATCAAGGAAGATTCCTTAGATCAGATTAGGGATCCTAAACCCTAAACCCTAAACCCTAAACCCTAAACCCTAAACCCTAGACCCTAAAACCCCACACCCTAAACCCTAGACCCTAAACCCTTAACCCTAATATTTTCGATGCTTCCAGAGACTCCAGTATCCTTCAATCAAGGAAGATTCCTTAGATCAGATTAGGGATCCTAAACCCTAAACCCTAAACCCTAAACCCTAAACCCTAAACCCTAGACCCTAAAACCCCACACCCTAAACCCTAGACCCTAAACCCTTAACCCTAATATTTTCGATGCTTCCAGAGACTCCAGTATCCTTCAATCAAGGAAGATTCCTTAGATCAGATTAGGGATCCTAAACCCTAAACCCTAAACCCTAAACCCTAAACCCTAAACCCTAGACCCTAAAACCCCACACCCTAAACCCTAGACCCTAAACCCTTAACCCTAAAACTTAAGGCATATTCCTGAAATAAGAGATATTGGGGTCTCTGGGCAGGGGCTTAGGGGTTTAGGGGTTTAGGGGCTTAGGGGTTTAGGGGTTTAGGGGTTTAGGGGTTTAGGGTTTAGGGGTTTAGGGGTTTAGGGTTTAGGGTTTAGGGTTTAGGGTTTAGGGTTTAGGGTTCAGGGTTTAGGGTTTAGGGTTTAGGGTTTAGGGACCTTAAAATCCTTAACCCTACTATTTTCGATGCTCCCAGGATGGTTTGCAGCTTCAAGCCTCGCTTTGCGCAGCAGGAGGACCCAGAGCCTCCAAAACCCCTTAATTAAGGAATATACCTTAAACTATATTAGGGATCCTATTATGATTTAAGGAAGGGAATATACCTTAAATCGTCGTAGGATCCCTAATATGTATATATATATAGATAGTTTAAGGTATATTCCTTAAATTTAATTAAGGGGTTTTGGAGGCCGACGGCGAAGCGGCGAAGTTCGGCGGATCTGCGAAGTCTGGGGGCAGTTCTGGGGGCGTTTTGGGATCTTCTTAAGGAATCTAGGGTTTAGGGGTTTAGTTTAAGTTGCCGTAGTAGGGACCTATAGAACACGATATGGTGCGGTTGCGAGAGGTGCGGTGCGATGTGCGGCTGTGAGACGAATCTGTTTACAGTCGTGATACCCTTGCCGTTGGTACTGAGCTTGTTAGTCATGTCTTTTTTCGTGCAGGAATCGCTGAGGAGGGGCATCACCGTTGTCCCCGACCTTACGGAAACCGAAATGTCTGTCGAGGCCAGCGGACGGATGCCCCAATTACGCAGCCCTAAACGCCCGCAAGCTTCAGGAGCCCTAAAGCTTTCTGGGGTATCAGCATCCCAATACGTCCTAGTCATCGGTAGTCAGTGTGGATCCTGATGAAGAAGCACACCTTACGGCTTTTCTCAGGTTCGACGTCTCCTCAGTGTGTCGAGTCTCTGTGCATGAGAAAATTAGCCAGTATATACCTTCGTATTCTGTGTGTAGCGGTCTTGAACCCGAGGATCAGGGAATCCCTGCTGGCTGAACCCGTCCATGTCAGAACTTGCCCTCGACCACAAAAACCTCAAAGCTTTCATGCCTGATCAGGCGGAGTCTGCCCTGGATATGCAGAGAGCCCAATCAGTCATCGCTGCTTATGGGAGAAGCGCCATGCCCCTCTGCCTCTCAATGAGTTCAACGTGCTCAGTTGCTGTTGGGGTTTTGAGACCCATTATACTATAACTATAAGAAGGGACCCCCCAAATAGTATTGGTAATTATCTAGGCCCCTATATTACTTCAACATTCTTGGATTCCGTGTTTCTCCCGACCCACAGTTGGGCCAGGAAGGCAAAGACAGACGGCCATGACGGTGGTTGGGAAGCTAGTCCGTACAAAGATGAGTGGAGAACCCCAGGCCGCTGTGATTTTCAATTTGGCGCTCTTCAACGTGAATCCCAGATGGCTTTAGGGTTTAGGTTCTGTTCAGTGATGCACCCAAAAGCAAGATAGAATGTTGTAGCTTATCACAGCTGCTCTTTGAAGTGGCGATGCGGCACGTACCAGAGCATTCCAATTGCAAGCCTAGCCCACAGAGCTTGGGACCCCAAACCCTAAACCCTAAACTACCCTAAAGCCCTAAACCCTAAATCCTAAACCCGAAAACCCTAAACCCTAAACTACCCTAACACAATTTCCCTAACACCCCAAAACCCTAAACCCTAAAGCCCTAAACTACCTTAAAACCCTTGCCCTAAACTCTAAACCCCTAAACTCTAAGCCTCTAAACTTTAAACCCCTGGTGCCCCTTCGCGCCCTGGGCCCCCTTTAGTTGCATAGTGCGAAACCGATTTCTGGTAACTACTGATTTCATTGTGCTTACTTCTAGAGGGATTGTCCATTTGCGGGCCCTCAAACCACAAGCCCCACAACCCAAAACCCTTATCCCCTAAGCCCCTCAACCCAAAACCCCAAAACCCTAAACCCAAAACCAAAAAAAACACCTAAACATGTAAGAATTAAGGAGTTTTGGGGCCCAACACCCCTTAAACAACCCACAAGCCAAAACCCCCAAACGCTAAGCCCCTTAAACCTGTAAGTTAGGGTTCCTTTAAAAGGGGCCTTAGGGTTCCCTTAAAAGGGACTTTTGCTAGATCGTCGTCTCCGCGTAGTTGAGGTCCACTGTCGCCACGAACTACGGCGGTTCGGTGTCGGTCTCTGTAGGCCACGGAAAGCGGTCTTTTACAAGGGAGCTTGTTCCTTTAAAAAGGGGACTTAGGGTTCCTTTAAAAGGGGTTTGAGGGTTCTTTTCAGGGTTTAGGGGTTCAGGGTTTGGGGCTTTAGGGGTTCAGGGCTTGGGGTTTAAGGGCTTCATAGGGATTAAGGGTTCAGGGTTTAAGGTTGAGGGCTTAGGGCTTTGGGGGGTCGGGTTTCAGGGTTTAGGGTTCATATAGGGGTTCAGGGTTTAGAGTTTAGGGTTAAGGAAACTGCGTTCAGTCCCGACGAGCATTTGTTGCAGCTTCGATAACCAGTAAGAAAGTCAGGTTTCCCCAGTCTCCGCGATTGATGCGTCTCACAGGAAGCTCCCCGATATACCCCTGAAGAACAAGAACTTCACCTCCTGGTCTGTGCGGGCAAGGACGCAATGTCATGTCTCCATGCCTTGCTAGGTGTCCCTTTCCTTAGTGGCGGATCGGCCTCAGCCAGCTTCGAGGCAGGAAGATCTTGCAGCCCACTCTCAGCATAATATGAGGGCCTTACTAGTTGCCTATACTCTTTTGGGGGTCCCTCATTAGAGTTATAGTGTATGTATATATTAATATATACATATAAATAAATAAATAAATATATATATATATATATATATATGTTTCTATAATATGGCCCAGAACGCTATAGCGTTCTAATTATTAAGGCCCCTATATTAGACCCCGCTCCGAATCACCCTCCGAAGCACCGTAGCAGCACGGCTTGTCATGTCACAGCCGCCGCCAACCGAAAATACGGTTGATGATATAAATCCTGCACTACCTTAAGGACCCTAGACTATGGGAATTATGGTATATTCCCTATTATGGGTCATGCAGGATTTATATCATCAACCGTATCATCTCAGTCAGAAAGCACGTGGGTCGACATGAACGTGAAGCCTGCAGACTCTTGTAAGTGAAAGGTTGAGCATGTTTCAGGTCCTCGCAGCACAAGTTTACGGCTTCGGGCTTAGTAGCACGTTGCCACATTTGGCAAAATGTCAGCTACAGTACACATTGCACACTTGCGCAACACCTGCACAAGGTAAAGACCTGGCTGAGGATCGGGGCGGAATGTCGATGTTCTACCGGAAAAAAAGCTGTAAAGCTGTGTGGATGAGAGCATATCGAATCTCTTGACTTGAACAGAACCCAAGAAATCGAGAACTGTTGTTGCTTTCACAGCGAAGGCAACAGAGAATACCATGACGGCTGGTGCCGCCTTGCACAAGCAATTTGAGTTTCTTTGGGTGACCCGTGTGCCTCATGCTTACCTGCAGTAAGCCTGAAGTACGATGGCGCTATGACCTGACCCCTGCCAGAAAGCTGACTCCAGCTCGTCGGCGTCTTCCTCATCTGGCCAGAAGAGTACGGCATCGCAACTGCGGACCACGATGACAGAAGCTCTGCTATGTTTGTCATATCAAGCCGTTGTTTGGTCCCTCTTACTGGTACTTAGGCCCCCTACCCCCCTCTGCTTATCGCCCCAAGGTTTCCTATGATTCAGTTTGAGATACTTGCCCCAGCGATTTGGTCGTGTCGTGAAGGTTCCAGTGTGACGGTGTTAGGTCATGGGAAGCGGTCCTAGCTCGTGTAAGCATAACAGGATAATTATATTGTATCACATGATCGCATGTTGTATTTGGATATACTATTGTATGATCTAGTCTAATCTAGTATATACTATCAGATAATATCTTGCGGTACAGTTTACTGTAACATAAGATCAAACCTAGAGTGGATCTCAAGACCCACATCTCTTAGGAGTTGTCAAAGTCCACCTATTTCTTCGCGCCAAAGCTCGCCGTGAAGATTGATCCGCTGATGTGGCCGCCCCAGGGTGCTTGTCAAATAGAAGCAGCTTAATGTCTTACAACATCTGAATATCGATAACCTGCCGGGGAGAGGGGTTTCTTGCCAACAGTTTCAGTCGCTTGCCTGTAGGGGGAGTGTCGTGCGGAGTTCTCAAGGAACGTGCACGTCAGCTCTCAAGGAACAGCAACATGACACACGCGCATATCTATGCTGATGTTGGTTCCCTCCTGACGTGTTCCTGCACGGCAACGGCAACCATCATCCGTCACAACATCACATGTGAGCTGCACAGCAGACACATGTGCCAAGCTGACTCCAGTTGTGCGCAGGCTTGCTATGTCACCCCTGATCAGGTTGCAGCCTTCGCCAGAGTTCAAGCTGGCTTGGTCGAACATCGCGCACAAATATTGTCTCCTGGACTTGGAGAGAAGGGGCGGGACCGGGATGTAAGGCCGCACTTCTGGAGGCTAAAGTTTCGCAAGCTTCCTTGTTCGATGCTTGTCCGGCAGGTCTTGCGCAGCAAGCGCCACCAACGCCTGCTACGACTACTACGACCACTGCGTTTGCAAGCGCGAACGGGTCAAGCGCGAGCGGCACGGAAGACATTGAGCTCGTTGACCTCGAGGATGCATGCAAGAAATACAAGGCCTTTAAGGGTTCCTCTAAAATTGCCCAATACAATTTGGGGGGTTCCTTATTGTAATTATAGTATAATGGACCCCAAAATCGTATTCTAATCCTTGCCTGGTTCGAGTGCAGGGATCTGGAAGCAGTCGCTGGGGACGTGAAACTGTCGGAACCAGGCGATGTGAATCTGATCAGCAGGTGTGGGCAGAGCATCTCAGAACGAATCGATCGGCGCCGGCCTGACCATGATGATGACTTTGGTGATAATGATGATGCTGCTGATGATGATGATGATGATGTGGTTGCGGTTGTTGCCGTTGTTGCCGCCGCCACTGTTGTTGTTGTTGTTGGAAAAGGTGTCTTCCACGGCCCTCTTTCTTCGCAAGAGGCTCACCATGTGTGCAGGTGGACCCGGACAGCGTTTACGGTGGGAGCCCAGAAGAAGAAACGGAGGAAGAGGAAGACGCAAACACTGCAGTTCAGATCTCCTTCTTTGCCACGAACTTCGATGTGCCACGGAAGAATTGCTTTCTTGTGCATTATGTGTCCTAAACCCTAAACCCCTATACCCCCAAACCCTAAACCCCTAAACCCCTAAACACCTCAACCCTAAACTCCCCTAAACCCCTATACCCTAAACCCATAAACCCTAAACCCTTAAACCCTAAACTCCCCTAAACCCCTATACCCTAAACCCCTAAACCCTAAACCCTTAAACCCTTAAACCCTAAACCTTAAGACCCCAAACCCCTTAAAACCCTTAAACCCTAAACCCCAACACCCCTATACCTTAAACCCTAAATCCCTGAAAAGAACCCCCAAATCGCTTTAAAGGAACCCTAAGTCCCCTTTTAAAGGAACCCTAAGTCACCATGGTGTTGAAACAGTTGCAATGTCCTTGGCATACGCCGTGCACCGAGGTCCTGGCCACTCTGGGAGTCCCTTGACAGGCTTAGAGATTTAGGAGTTTAGGGGGGAAGTTTAGTGTTGATTTAGGGGTTTAGGAGTGTAGGGGTTTAGGGCTTAGGGTTTGTGGGTACAGGGGTTTAGGGTTCAAGATTTAGGGCACTCCCTAACTCTCTCGCTCGCTCTCTCTGCCTCTCGCTCTCGCTCTCGCTCTCGCTCTCGCTCTCGCTCTCGCTCTCGCTCTCGCTCTCGCTCTCGCTCTCGCTCTCGCTCTCTCTCTCTCTCTCTCTCTCTCTCTCTCTCTCGCTCTCTCTCTCTCTCTCTCTCGCTCGCTCGCTCGCTATTTTAGAATAACCGTACGTGACAATCAGTATTATAGAACACAACATAGCACAGCGTAGCATGCAGGACAGAGCATGATACAACATGGGAGTTTCCGGAAAAAGGGGACCCTAATATAGTACCCCAAGTAGTAGGATCCTCCTCAAATAAGCTACCCTCAATTTTCGGAACCTCCCCCCTAACCTGCTTGCTCGCAGCCGAGGCCATAAAACCCCTGTACCCTAAACCCCTAAACCCTAAACCCTTAAACCCTAAACCTTAAGACCCCTAAGACCCCTAAGACCGCTGTACCCCAACCCCAACACCCCTATGCCTTAAGCCCTAAATCCTTGAAAAGAACCCTAAAACCGCCCCTTTTAAAGGAACCCTATAGATCCCTTTATATCCGAGGCCTTGCCAAAGAAAGCGTTTGAGGATGCCGTGACACAAGCGATTCTCGGCTCTGAACCAGAGGTGCTCTCGGCTCTCCTTGTCCTATGGTGGAGAGCTTGGAGTTTAAGGGTTTAGGGGTTTAGGGTGTAGAGTTTAAGGGTTTAGGGTTTAGGGTTTAGTGTTCAGGGTTCAGGGTTCAGGGATTAGGGTTTAGGGTTTAGAGTGTGTTATTGGCTCCTTGTCTTACTACAGGGGCTCAAATAATTGCCTATACTATTTTGGGGGTTCGTTAGTATAACTATAGTATGCCGGGCACCAAAACCTTATTCTAATTATTAAGGCCCCTATCTTATGTAGCGTTTGATCGAGGAGGTAGGGAAGCTGCTACATTGGCAGCAGCCACAACATTGACGCGGAGAGAACACTGTACTTCTCAGCAGTCAAGAGCGAGACACCATTTGAATGTGCAGAAGGAAAACGATGACATTTTTGAAATCGTAGCATCTCACCCCATTGAATCTGCGATGAGGTGCCGAGTCAGACTGAAACAAACAGATCACATGGGCATTGATTTGAAGGTTCCTGCAATAGGTTTGCACAAGAGCTGCAAAAGAACCCCTAAGCCGCAAACCCTAAACTCCAGTTTGGTATGCATCTGCGCATAAGGCTGTCATAACCTGGACGTAAGTCCCAAGTACTCTGGACCACCATCTGTTCACACAAAACCCTGAGCCGGTTCTGGGTTTAGAGCTTAGGGTTTAAACGTTTAGGCCATGAGAGGCAACGTCTGAGAATCGAGGGGCATCGAACCTGCCTGTTTCTTCGTCGATTCCCCGGTTGTCGGTTGTCGCCGAACGAGTTAAAACAAAACCATCGGTTGGAGGTGTACCTGCCCTTGTTAATGACGATGCTTGGAGATTTTACAGTCGTGTTGACATCGGCCTTCAACCATGTCGCACAAGTGGGAGTTTCCGGGAATGGGGGCCCAAATAAGGTACCCCTATTCTCGGAAACTCCCAAGTGCCTGGCGGTTTGGTCTGCCTTGCAGGTTCCGCTTTCGCATCAGGACGACATTTTGGAATCAACAGTTTCCGTTTCCCCTGCCACACAGGATGAACTACTACGGAGTTATTGGCGATGACGAGACCATCAAAGTCACCCTGAGCAGACCTTCAAAGACGGAAGTGGACACTCGGACTTCGACAGTTTCATGCTGAAAGGGCGCATCGATACCCAGCGGTAGGCCTTAAAAACCCCCATGCCAGAAGTTGATATTCCTTAGGGTTTAGGGTTTAGGGTTCCTTCAAAAGGGTTCCTATAAGGGATCTACAGGGTTCAGAGTTGAGGGGCGTTTCCGAAAATTGGGGGTACCATATTTCGGGGTCCTTGTAGTAATAAGGATCCTATTTAGGGTACTATATTGGGGTCCCCTATTTTCGGGAACTCCCTTGTAGATCCCTTACTTATAGTAACCCTTATAGACCCCTTTAAAGGGAGCCCCCATATTCCTGGAGGGAGGAAGCTGATGGCACAGCATGCGACTTGAATAGCACACTGGCAGCCATTCAGGACCCTCGGGTTACTTAAAGGGTCATGGGACTTAGTAACTGGGGTTATAATTAAGGTAACTATACTTATAACCTCACTTAAGGTACTTATAACCTTACTAAGTCCCATGATCCTCCAAGTACTCATGCGACATGAGGTATTGAGTGAACATAGTGTATGCAGACAGTTGCTCCACATCCCTCGAGCAAGCCATGGACACCGCCAAACCCTAAACCACACGCCAACGGGATTCTGGATAGGACTCAAGTTCTCTGCTCAACACGGTGAAAGCGGCCTGGATGAATATCCGTCGGGGTCACCGTTGCAGCCGATCAGGGATGGATGTTTCTGTCAATCAGGCGAATGAGTATCAATAACTCTCTGTGTTGTGCGCAGTATGATGTTGCAGCATGTTTTCAGAGTGCAGTTAAACGCAGTGGGGTCCACCTAAAACAGCCCAAAACAATGGAGCAATGAACCCTAAGCCTTAAAGTAAAAACACCCTTGGCCCATTCGGAGAGACGGCAAGAAGAATGGTGCCTGGCGGGAATGTGAGATACACAGAGAGAGGAGAAAGACACAACAAACAGTTCTGGAAGTGGCACGATACATTCATACATACATGCATGCATATATATTTATATATATATATATATAATTATGTGCCTATGCTACTTCGGAATCTATCTATTTTCCATGTGTCTATCTGTCTATTTATCTCTCGAGCTATCTATCATCCATGTGCCTTTTGCTTTCTATGAAATTCATAAATTTGCATCTATCCATGCACTACAGGTGCAATTGCCTACTAGATTTATATGCTTCGGGTATGTAGTGTAAATACACAAATAAAAATGCATAGATACATAACACTAATTTTAGTATATACATATATATATATATGTATATATATATATATAGACATCATATAACACAGTTTTGGGTGGATCTGTGAGTTTCTGACAACAGCAAAGTCATCGGTTTCTACGGTGCTTTCTATGTGCTTTACATATCGAAGAAAGACGGAGGTGGATCATGGAGCGGGGTGGGTGTGACCATATATGTATATATATATATATATATATAGCGGGATTTAAGATACCATTCGTTTGACTCAAAGGAAAGCAGGTTTCTGATGTGTAAACGCGATTTTTTGCAGGAAATTTTGGTGTGTACCAGAAGAAGCAGCTCGCGAGGCTTAGTTGTTATGCTTTCTGGGTTGAGTGGCGGCACTCGCTGCCCGAAGTGTGTCAAGCGCCCAGGGACGCCTCAAATATTCGCCGCATTTAGGTGATGTCGCAGGTTTAAGAGAAAGAAGCAGCAGGAAGCCCACTTAGGAGCGGAGCCTGTGTCAAGTCTCTAAGAACGCCAAAAGTAATATCATACATTCACATACACATACACATATACATACATGCGTACCCAACCACACACCCCCACCCGCCCGCCCACCCACCGACCGACCGACCTACCTACATGGGTATTTGAATGTGTGCTGGTATATTTATATTGGCAACCTTGTATGTATGTACGCATGCATGCATGTATGTGTATATATATATATGTTATACTTATATGTACTATACTGTTTTATATCTTATCATGATATACTTTCATGTGTGTATATATATACACATACATATATATATATATATATATATATATATATACATATATATATATATATATATATATACATATATATATATAGAACAAGAACGGTCAAGGTGGTGGTCGTAATTCCGGCGAAGCCCAACGAAGATTCGGAACCAGCGGGCAAGAGTCGCCTGACGCTACTCGGCGGGAAGCAGAAGCCGGGTATCCTATGTTGGATGGTTCGAGGTTTATGGCGAGTTATATCGGTTTTCTAGCCGGCTCAGTTCTACTATTCAGAATGCCTGTCTTCTGTTATACTGCATTATGCTGCCTAATGTTTGTGGGCTCGTTATTCTCAATTTTCCCGCCGCTTCTGAAACCGTACACGTTGTTTTCTTGGAGCGCGTGCTCGGGCTGGAAACCAATGCTAAGTTTGCGGCATTTCGGTTTCGGTTTGTTTTGTAGATTTCGATTACGTTACGTGCGCTTTCTTGATGTTGTTGTGCACACGTTTCTGTAGCGCGGGGGATGCCGGGTTTCAGGGATTTACCGAAGACCGATATCAGAATCCAAAAAATCGAGAAGCGTCCCCCCAGCACAGACCTGCAACACCGAAGACATGGAAGAGTCAGAAAAACACTGTACAGCTATGGAATCGCCAGCTTAAGCAATTATGGGTGCAGTGCCGTGGCATATAACTTTAACCCACCAAAACCTACCTTTTTTGTAGGTTCTTCCTATGAGACCCAACAAAAGAATAGGGTTTGGTAGGTTAAGGTAGGTAGGTAATCTTGACTTCCTTGTTCCGTGATAGTTCACGATAATGCGCATCAGTCATATCTTGGAAATAGTGCCGAGGCCGTTCGCGTTGTGGCCACATCGGTTCAGAAGACACACACACAGGTCAGCATATCTAGCGCAAGGGAAAGCCCATTCCTAGAGAGCCCAATACCCCTTAAATAAGGAATATACCTTAAATTATAAGGGGGTTCATATTATGATTTAAGCTACATTCCTTAATTAAGGGGTATTGGGCTCTCCCCTAAACCGTAAACCCTAAACCCTAAACCCCTAAACCCTGAACCCTAAAACCCCATTCTTGTGCCAGCACCCTGTGGGGCTCAGGTTCTACTCGGAATGGAAAACGCAGGGCCGCTCTGTCCGCAAGAGATCCCTTTTTAATTTGGCCACATGCTCTTTCGCAGCGAATCCGTTATTTCTACGCACTCCCAAAGCCTAAACCGGAAACCCCAAACCCTAAAACCCTTGTACCCTTACAGATCGATTATAGGAACTTTTTTGGATCCCTTTTCAAGAAACCTAAACCCTAAACCCAAGTCAAAGGGACGGCACGAAGCTGCTCATCAGGTCCGCCGTGGGGTCTTCAAAGCAGGATCCTGGATCAGTTTGACAAAAGCGACACGTTGAACCTTGGTGGCATGCGATCCGTTTTGGCTGCGCGCGTACCTGAATGTGAAATGGCGTAGTATAGGGGCCTTAACAGTTACATGTGTTGTTTTGGGGGTTCATCACCTAATTATTAAGTCGCCTGTGTTAAATAAAGAATACTCGGGGATGCCTTCAACGCACTAGTGTGGACCTACGTGGCCTAAATGCGGTACGTCTGGATTCAAGCTTACTCTTTATTCGCCATTGATGGCAATTTGGATTTACTATTGGCACTTTACTGAACTTCCATACTCCCAATCTGAGCTCCGATAAGCTAAAGCTAACCCTAAACCCTAAACCCTGAACTCCCAGGCCTTCTTAGGCGTCGCGGACTGCAGGCTCCGGGAAAGGGGAGCGCAAAAACGCATCCCGAAACCTAAACCCTGAACTCTAAACCCTAAACCCTGAACCTTTAAACCCTAAACCCTAAAACCCTAAAACTCTGAACCCTAAACCCTGAACCCTGAACCCTAAAACCCTAAACCCTAAAACCCTAAAACCCTGAAGCTCTGAACCCTAAATCCCTAAACTCCGAAGCCCTTAAAACCCTAAAACCCTCAAACCCTGAACCCTAAACCCTGAACCCTAAAACCCTGAACCCTAAAACCCTAAAACCCTAAATCCCTGAAGCCTGGTTGAGACCCACGGCTCGGGACCCCGGAAGCACGGCTTTGGGGCTCAAGAGCAGGGTACTTGGAGGATCATGGGACTTAGTAAGTAGGGTTATATAAAGGGCTCCTTAAAGGGATCCTTGGAGGGATGTATAAGGGTACTATAAGGGATGTATGGGACTTAGTAAGTAAGGTTATAAGTACCTTAATTGGGCTTATAAGTATAGTTACCTATAGCCCTAGTTGCTAAGTCCCATGATCCTCCAAGTACGCAATATTTTTATTCGGGTGGCCCCAGAAGGCTCATATAGGCTTTAGGGTTTAGCTTTTTAGGGCGCCTAAATGCCAAAATAGTTGGCAATATCATTTTGAGGTTCCTTGTTATAGTTATAGTATAGTTTACTCCACGCCCTCTTATAGTAATTAAGGGCCCCAGTACTCCTTGTGAGATGACCTTCAGATGTCTCTCAATGCGTGCTCCGCACTGGGCCGCAAAACCCTCATCCCTAAACCTCCCAATTCACCCTTAATCCCAAACCCTAAACCCCTAAACCTCTAAATCCCTCAACCCCTAAACCCCTAAACCCTAAACCTTCAATCCTCTAAGCCCTCCTGGCAGTAAGGAAATCCAAAACTGTCTTGGTCGGCACAGTTGAGCTGAAGAAGTTCGAGGTGACGTCTTCGAGCATGAAGTTGGGCCATCCTTGAAGAGCTAACTGTGCAACTTAATGTAGAGGCCTTAATAATTAGAATAAGGTGCTGGGTCCCATTATACTATCATTATAATAAGGAACCCCCAAAATAGTATACAGTAAACCTCATAAATTTGGAAACCGGCTGAAGGCCAAATAGTGCTGGGATTCCCTATACATTGCTCTTAGGGATTGAGGCTACGGGGTTTCCAACTTCTGGACTTCTACTGTAAGACTCAGAAGAGGGCTCCTTTAAGGGGTCCTTTTAAAAGGGGTCTATAAGGGTTACTACTATAAGGGGTATTATGGGGGATTCATAAGAACCATAATCATAAGCATAGTAACAACTCCAATGCTACTACTCAAAGTAGCAACACTAATAACAACATCAAGAAAAGAGTGCCAATAGTTGAGGTGTTGAAATAAACGTCAAAGGATCGCAGGTCGGGGGTCCACAAAAGTTCTGGGAGTTAGGATTAAGGGGATCCTTGGGGATAAAGACCCTCTCAATAAGGTCCCTTTTAAGAGAGCCAGAAGTAGGGTTCAGAAGGGGTACCGTTTAAGGGGTCTCTCAAAAATACTACGAAAGCTCCGAGCAAAGGCACAAGAGCAGGAAGCTGGGGTTTCCTAGCACAAAAGAACAGTTGCATTGAAGATTGCAGTATGAAGTCATTATTGTTGTAGTATCTTCTTTTGCTATTTACTCTTCTGTTTGTTACTTATTATGATTATGACTATGACTGTTATGATCATTAGCATGATTATGATTGTTATGAATGCTGCTGCACGCCACAGCTGTCAACATGTTGAATGGTTGCCTGCTGAATCTGCAAATCATGACACCTGATGCTGGAACGTTCATCACCAATTTCGGCGAGGCAGGCAATCGCCAGCGACCACGGCTAGTTTGGCATTTCTTCTTTGTCCAAGCATAAAGCTGCGGCTGATAAGAGTATCGAAGATTCGTGCCTCCAGATTTCCGGCCCCTGCCCCAACCCGTGTCGGCAATTCTCAGAGTGTGTGGTGACACTCGTAAGTTGGTCTTCTATTCCGGCTAGGCCCAGAGAGTCCAATACCCCTCAATTAAGGAAGATAGCTTAAATCATAATATGAAGCCCTATACATTAAGCCATCTTCCTTAATTAAGGGGTATTGGGCTCTCTGGGGGATCCCCAACGAATCCTCCTGAAGGGGCGCTGCTCGTTGTGCGCACAAAGGCGTCGACGTCGACCACTCTAGGGTTGCCCTCAAACCCAAACCCAAAACCCCTAAACCCCTGAACCCTAAACCCTAAACCCCTAAGACCCTAAAACCTAAACCCCTGAACCCTAAAACCCTAAAACCAAAACCCTAAACCCAAAACCCTAAAACCCTAAACCCCCGATCCCCTAAGCCCTGAATCCTGAGTCCTCGGCATCTCCAAACCGTGCAGAGTTCTCCGCAGCTCCAGGTCACAGTGGCGGGGGAGGGGGGGGGGACGGCGGCGAAGACGAAGAAGAAGTCGATACTTAGATGCAAAAAGGAACGTCGTGGTGGCGAATTATTTCAGGGTTTAAGGGTTTAGGGTTTAGGGCTTGCTTTAGTGTTTGGGGTGTAGGGTTGAGGGTTTAAGCTTTAGGGTTAAGGGCGAGGTTTAGGGATTTCGGGTAGGTGGTGGGTGCTGGAGAAGCCAAGACAGTTTGCACTAGACCAGACATGGCTGCTTTGCGCGTCGGTTCGAAAGTAATGTCGGGTAGATTATACTTCTAACTATAATAAGGAACCCCAAAATCCTATTCTAACTATTAAGGCCCCTACATTACCTAATCTGGGGGCCTTCCCCATTCTAATTATTAAGGCCCCTAAAGGACGATTCGGCTGCCCGACCACTTAGGAAGTCGACACTTTTGCAGACGTGGAAATCTTCCGGGCAGGCCATCAGCTCGGCAAGTCAGGCTTGAAGGTTTAAGGGTTTACGGTTTAGGGTTGCAGACATGACACTCCTAAGCCGGTGCCGATACTTTCTGACGGCAGCACCAGTAGTACTCAGTACAACTGAAGCTGGTGCAAGCTTAAGGTCACTTTAATGCGGTGCTACTGCTACTGCAATGAAAACTCTAATCCTTCGGCCCGCAATCTCTTGGTGAGGCCACGGTTACGTCGGCCAACGCCACTTTGCGCAACTCTGGTGGGCTGCATGTGTGTCAATGCCGCGGATACATAGTTGAAATCCCGGAGTGGGCATGGATATGGCCGGTGCTGACCCCTAACCTTGGGTCTAAGTCTGGGAATTCAGTAAAACTCCGTTGGAGCACAGCGGCTCAAAATTATCCTAGTCGCGGGATCAGAAGTTCAACGTTCAACCCTACTCGGAGGATCATGCGACTTAGTAAGTAAGGTTATAGGTTAGTACCCTGACCGGGGTTATAAGTATAGTTACCTTACTTGTAGCCCTAGTTACTAAGTCCCATGATCCTCTACATACCCCCAAGACCCTTATAGAACTCTTAATAGTAATCCTTGTGGGAACCCTTTAAGGGAACCTTAGTTACTAAGTCCCATGATCCTTTAAGTAAGACCTAAGCAGTGGCTACGCCCAGCGAGGTGGGGAGCTGCGCTTCGCCTGAGGCTCTGAACCCAAAGCCCTAAACCCAAGACTAATAAAGGGAACTCCAGAAAGTTGGAATATGGTCCTTATATAGGGTTCCTTAAAGGGATCTATAAGGATTCTATAAGAGTTCTATAATGGGTTTAAGGATGTAGGGTTTAGGGTTTAGGGCTTTCAAGGGAACTCCAGAAAGTTGGAATATGGTTTCAGGGTAGGATACCTTGTAATTTACCATAAGGGGTTTAGGATAATCATATTCCAACTTTCTGGCTTTTACTTGAAATCCAAAATCCTAAACCCAGAACCTATAAATCCTAAACTCCTAAACCCTACTTGTAGCCGGAAAGACCTACGTTTTTAGGGTTCCTTACTATGGTTTCTATATATAGGACCTTGAAAAGGTAGGTCACTTCGGCTACAGGTAAGCTTATAGTGGCTACCATATAAACCCTAAAACCCCAAACCTATAAATCCTAAACCCAAAGCCTATAAATCCTAAACCCAGAACCTATAACTCCTAAGCCCTAAGCTTAGAGTTGCTACCACCAGCCCCAAAACCCGAAAGCCTTCGAGAACGAGGCCACCTGGGAAGATTACAAATCGGATTTCCTCGACTTGATTCACAAGCCCGGAGCCCAGGATTCTCAGAGCCTCCAAAACCCCTTAATTAAGGGATATACCTTAAACTATATTAGGGATCCGGTTATAATTTAAGGTATGTTCCTTAATTAAGGCGTATGGGAGCCCAAAGGATTCCGCTGGTCTTTCCGGTTTAGGGTCGAGGGCTTTGGGGTTTAGGGCTTAGGGGTTTAGGATTTAGGGTTTAGGGTCTAGGGCTTTAGGGTTTAGGGCTTAGGGGTTTAGGATTTAGGGTTTAGGGTCTAGGGCTTTAGGGTTTAGGGCTTAGGGGTTTAGGATTTAGGGTTTAGGGGTTGAGACCCAGAGTAGGCCCTTATTCCCTTTTTTAGGGTTCAGGTTCCCTTATAATCCCTTTAAAACCAAAAAGGGCACCCTTTTGATTCCTAGGTTACTCTTAGGTCTAGGGTCTAGGGCTTTAGGGTTTAGGGCTTCGGGGTTTAGGAATTAGGGTTTAGGGGTTGAGGGTTTATTGTTTAGGGCGTAGGGGTTCAGGATTTAGAAGGCTCGATCCTGGGGCCTGCCTTTGTGCATAAGGACTTTTTGGAGTTATTGGGGTCTCGGGTTTAGGGTTTAAGGGTTTAGGGTTTCAGAAGAGGCCCTGAAAGGAACCCTTAAAGGAACTCTCATAGATTTCTTTAAAGGAACCCCCTAGACCCTAAACCCCAAAACCCGACAGTTTAGGGTTTGGGCGTCTTGGGCTCTTTCTGCCCGGCGCTTCTTTTTGGCGACCGGAGCTCAATGAAACTTTTCCGGGAGGATCCAGAAAGTAGATCCCTTAATTTGGGGCCCTATACTACTAAGGGTACTTTATAGGAGCCCCCATTAAGGGATCTACTTTTTTGATCCTCCCGGGGGTCTGGGTTTGTGCAAGGCCAGGCAACTCCTGGCGGGTTCGCATGTTCTCCAAAAATGGGCATCTGCGGTGGAGGTCGGCACAGAGCCACAAGGAAGGCCAAGCGCCCACGAAAGCAGCAGGCTGCAGGAAAGGTGAATAGTTACCTATACTATCTTGGGGCCCCTTACTAGATTTATAGTATAATACACCCCCCCCAAAACCCCATTCTGATTATCAAGGCCCCTATAGTAGCCGTGCTCCTTTCGCCACCACCATCTCAAGTCCTGAGACTTGCTGGGTCTCACGCCCCATTGGTTTTTCAATTAGAATAGGGTTTCAGGGTTCCTTTAAAGGGCTGGGATACTATAAGGGCACTATAGGGGTTCTACAAGGGATTGAAGGATGTCGGGGCCTTAATAAAAAGAAAAAGGCTTTCGGGCCCATTATACCAGCATTATAATCTGTAACTTAGAGCATCATGGGACTTAGTACGTAAGGTCATATGTACCTTAATTGGGTTTATAAGTAGTGATAAGTATAGTTACCTTACTTATAACCCTAGTTCCTAAGTCCCATAATCCTTTAAGAGCCCCCAAAATAGTATCAGGTAATTGTTAAGGCCCCTGTATTAGACACCCAGCAAATACAGAAGCCGTAAACCCTAAGTGCCCTAACTAAACCCAAAACCCCAAACCCTAAACCCTAAACCCTAAACCTTAAACCCTAACCCCTAAACCCTAACCCCCTAAACCCTAACCCCTCAACCCCAAGCCCTAAACCCTTCGAGTCAGTGGCCGGGGGTCGGTCCGCAGGCCGAAAAATAAAAGGCGGAAAACGGCGGTTGTGTGCGGCCAGCCAAAGGAAGTCCGGCGTTGAAGCTGGAAGTATACTCAACCATATGAGAGTTTCCGAAAATAGGGGACCCTAATATGGTACCCTAAATAGTAGGATCCTTCCTAAATCAGGTACCCTTAATTTTCGGAAACTCCCATATCATACTGTATCATAGTATACTCTATCATACAGTATTTTGTACCTTATCAGGCGATTTGTTGTATTATGTTCTAGTTAGTAGCCTAGTCAGCCGCCTCCCGACTTGTAGGAAGTGGATGTGTGGAGGCGGACTTGGCTGATATGGGAGTTTCCGACAATTAGGGGTACCTTATTTAGGGGCCCTCATAATAAGGATCCTACTATTTAGGGTACCATATTAGGTCAGTTGTCTCTTCGCATGCGCCGATTCTCTTGCTGATGTCCCTGACCAGAATTTCTCGATTCGCGCGACAGGCTTGCAATTCCAAGTCCCCGATCGCTGTCGCATCTTTCTTACCGATGAAATCAATGGTAACTAGGATGCCCAGTAGTACCCTTATTCCCTTTTTGTAGTCCTAGGTTCCTTATAAAGTTACCCAATACCAAAAAGAGAGGCCTTTATATTCCTAGGTTACTGGGTAACCTAGGTAATCTAGACCCCCGCGCTCATGTAGCTTTGCGTGTACATATCCGAAGTGCAGCAGTTGTGCATGCATGTTCAACCGTTTTTTGACACATCAGTCAAGGTTTATATGGGAACCCGATTTGGAAACCCTTGGAGTCTTCATGATAAGAACCCTCATATGTTAGGGGATATAGGGCCAGGGTTTCCGAATCAGCTTCCTACATCCTACATTACCTGTCTTGGCTTTCGATTGCGGCTAGTGCTACGGTGGCTCTCACCTAGACCCTAAACCCTGAACCCCTAAGTCGTAAACCCTAAACCCCTAAACCCCAAGCCCCTAAACCCCTAAACCCTAAACCCCTAAGCCCCTGAACCCGAAGCCCTGGACGTCTAACGATCGAGGTTCGGCTCCCACGTCTGCCCTTCTGCCATCTTGGGCGGCTGGAGGAATATTGAGGCCACATACAAGAGCCAAGAGTCCAAGGAGTCTTGTGCTGCACTTGCTTGGGGGTTTAGGGTTAAGGGGTTTAGGTTGTTTAAGGTTCAGGGGCTTAGGGTTTAGGGGTTTAGGGTTTAGGGGTTTAGGGTTTAGGGGTTTAGGGTCTAGGGGAGAAGGTTATCTTGAACATTGAGAATTACCTAGGCCCCACAGACAAGAGCTAGGAGCGCAAGGAGTATTGACATGCATTTGGAGGGCTCAGATCCTTTCGATTTACTCGGGTTCAGGGTTTTGCAGGTGCAGGGTTCAAGGCCATTAAATTAGGGTTCCCTTTTTGAATTTGGGTCCCCAAAATAGTAAACGGGAGAGAACTGCCAATGTGGTGGTCGCAGGTCCTCACGCTTTGCGACTCATTCCCGTCACTGAGCTTGACCCTGTGAAACATTGAGAACCCTAAGCCCTAAGCCCTAAACCCTAAACCCTAACCTGCCCGGCCACCCTGCGCAATGAGGAGAGGTCGGAAGTGTCCAACGTGGCCCCTCGTCCGAAGTTTGGAGCCGTGATGGTAGGAGTGATGTAGTTCCCTTCTTGCTTCACATGGGTGGTTGTCAAAATTATGGCCCCTTGTCTGGGTACCCTAACTAGTAGGTGCCGCATTATGTTAGGCATCCAAAAAGGCACCCTAATTTTTACAACCGCCGACATGTGCCATGTTCTGACGATGGGCACGTGGCGAGGTGTGACCTAGGTGAGACTGGCGGACTAATGAACGGGCTAAGCAACGACTCGACCATGTGCGACCTAGTATGCTCTGTAGATCCTCACCTTTGGTAGAGCACCTCGGCGAAGCACAGGACAGCGCTCTCTGTTCAGACCTCCTGGCGGTAGCATTGTCGCTATCAGAACGGCATGGCAGAGAAGCTGCCATTCCATTCCGCAGAGATTCGCCCACACCCCTTGCATACAATGGAAGAGACAGGGAAGACAAAGTTCCTGACTTTGCAGAAACGCTGGAGGTGACAGCAGCGAAATGGTTCTTGAGCAGGATGGCAGAACTCCTCTTGACTAGCCTCTGGAAGTGGGGAATGACCTTAGTGGTAGGGAGAAATGCTTGGAACGGAAACATGCTGCTGCTACTGCCTGACAGCGACCGGAAGGAGCTTTACGGGAAGGGGAGCGTCTGATCACCTTCTCCTGGGATAATGTAAGGGCCTCAATAATTAGAATAGGGTTTTGGCGGTTCCTTATTATATTTATAGTATTATATACCCCCGAAACCCATTGTAACTAAGAAGGCCCCTTTTGTTAGGTCACGTCTCGGACAGAGTGATTGGGTGGTGCGGGATCGGGGCTCCCGCTGGCAGCTCGGTGAACTTCGATGTATTAGTACTAGTACTACTACTGGTACACTATTATTAGTACTAGGTACTAGCAGTGGTGCTAGCCGCAAAGACGTGATTTCGCCCAGATTTCCGAAGCCATTCGAGAAGCGGCGTCTTCATCGTGGAGCGCATCCGGAGGTGAAGCGAAGGGTGTGCCTCTCTTCGACAGAGCATGTCTTACAAGTGTTTTTGTGTTGGTGTTGCTGGGACCCAGTTTGCAAAGTTCACTTTGACTGCTAGATTCAAGCACCACCAAAAATTGCGGAGGCGTCTCCGGTGCTTACAAGTTCATCTCAGGCCGCTTGGCATGGAAGTGTTGCCAAGTGTCACCCGTGGTGTAGAGAGCGGTAGCAGTTGCGAATGAGAGACGAAGCTTCAGATCTTTTTGTGAGGTCCTGCAATACACCTTTGCTTTGCCTCCTGTGCCAACAGGACTTCTAGCAAGGCCAACAACCCTGTCTTGGTTGAAGCGGTTCCCCTGCTGAAGCGTGAGAGAAGCATTGTGACAAGGAGCTGAAGAAGCTGACAAAGTACCCTTATAAGATAGATCCCTTATGGCATCCCTTTTAGATCCGTCTAAAGGAACCCTAATCTAATTCTTAAGGACCCAGTGCCGACAACGAAAGCTGTTGCCCCGGCGCAGGCTCTGTAAGTGCCAGTGGAGGCAGCAGCAGTAGCAGCGGCTCTGACAACTCGAATACGGGCGGCTCATCGCAGGACGAGCTTGAACAGGGTACTTGAAGGGTCGTGGGACTTAGTAACTAGGATTATATTTAAGGTAACTATACTTCTGACCCCAATTGAGGTACTTATGACCTTGCGTACTAAGTCCCATGATTCTCCAAGTAGGATTGTGGTGAACATCGTGGTTCTTCAGTTCGAGCATCCACACAGGAATAAGATCTATTCGCGGTAGTAGCTTTTCAGGCATCCTCGTTGTCGATGTTCCAACCTACGGAACCCTGTCCCAAAAGTGTGGTATCCTGTATATCCTATACTAGCTATAGTAGACCTTAAGCCCTGAACCTTAAACCGAAGGTCCAGACAGCTTGCTGCAGACATGCTTGGTGCAGTCGGCTTATTGACTGTGTTGCTTCGGATATATGCAGGCCGCATTCTTGTAACCGAAATCGTGGAAAGTTTGGCACATAGCGCAACATGATTGATCTTATTCTCTTTAACAAGAGATTGTATCTTTTCTTTTTTCAAGGCAATTGTTTTGCGATTTCTGATTTGCTTTTGCCTCCTCGCCATACTTTGGATGGCTAATTTCGATATCATTCAATGGTGCCTGGATGTGAGAATTGGAAGATGAAACGTTTTGGATGTGAGGCTTGCTTTCCTCAGTTGTGCATGCGTGTGTGTGTGTGTGTGTGCGCTCGCCTGCAATTCATGTCCTTCGCATACGGTCATGTCACATGTCGATATACGCATGCGCATCTGTGACTGTGTTCTTGCGGGATCTAAAGTTCCAAAGCCATCTCACCTACTATCATAAACTCCCATGCATACCTCTTGTCGGAGTTGCATCCCGGATTGAAATGCTTGCTTTGTCTTGAAAGTTTCACACAGCATGCTCGAGAATGCTGCGAGCCATCACTGCGACGTCTAGGTTGGTCCGGAGTAGAAGTGCCTCCATGACCCCTTCCAACCACAGCTGTCACCAGCCTCTTGAACTTTTGCAGGATACGGCGACGGCTTCAAAGACGACGAACATTCAGGTCCAGCAGTCGTGGAAGGCACCTGCAATGCAGTCACGCTGTCCCACTCGGGGGGCCTATACACTCTACTTAAAGGATCATGGGACTTAGTAAGCAAGGTTCTAAGTACCTTTATGGGGTTAGAAGAATAGTTACCTTGCTTATAACCTTAGCTACTAAGTCCCATGATCCTCTAAGTAGACTCAGTTAAACCCTAAGCCGACCCTGAGCTCAGGGTGGATCCTCTGGCACGTCGCCGGAAGACTGGAGGAGAAGTCACTCGGGCTTCCCCAGGGGTGCACCTTCACCAAATATCCTATAGTATATTGTAGCACACTGTAGCATATCGTAGTATATCTACTAGAATATACTACAGGATAGTGTAGCATTTTGGAGTGCATTATCGTATACTGCAGTATACCCCAGTACATACTATTGTATATTGTAGTGTATTATAGTTGAGTATAGTATATAGTACACTCCAGTTTTTTAGTATATTATAGTTTATCATAGTTTATCATAGTATGTTATAGTATACTGTAGTATATTATAGTATACTGTAATTAGTACCTTATAGTATGCTTATAGTGCAGTGTAAAATCCCCAAGCCCTAAATCCATCCTTGAGGTTTGGACTCTTCGCTCAACTCCAATTGGAAGGTGATTGACCACGAGCTGCCGAAATGCATCGGAATCTTGGGTTTAGGGTTTAAGGTTTAGGGTATGGGTTTAGGGTTTAAGGTTTAGGGTTTGGGCTTAGGGTTTAAGGTTTAGGGTTTGGGCTTAGGGTTTAAGGTTTAGGGTTTGGGTTTAGGGTTTAAGGTTTAGGGTTTGGGTTTGGGGTTTAAGGTTTAGGGTTTGGAGTGTAGGGGGCTCCTTTAAAGGGATCCATAACATTTCCTATAGGGGATCTAGAAGGGCACTATAGGTTTTAGAATCTTAGAACAGGGTTTAGGGTTTAGGGCTTTGAGTTTTGGGCTTAAGGTTGGCATGTAGGGTTTTGGATTTAGGCTTTAGGGTTGAGATACTTACCTAGCCAATGTGAGAGCTTTCTTTTTTTTGCCTTCTATGCTTGGTCTATGTTAGAAAGTTTGACAACTTTTGGGCCCGGTTGTTACACAAGAAAGGAATCTGGTGGTTCGTGAGCGACGATTTTACTCGCAATGGTTTGTGCTCCTGGGCTCGAACATACTCTTTGCTTGGGCTGAAGTCCCAAATGCACATGAAGAGAAGATGTTTTTAGCCTCCGGACCCTCAAGCACCGTTGCGTCTCTGCAGTGCGAAAGATGTCGAGGTTTGAGGGATTCAGCGCAGTTTGCACTTCTTTGCCCGTTCTGGCGATTGTACTCCCCGAAGCGTTATCGAGGCAACGCTTGGTTGCAAGTTTATCTGGATGGCGGTCCCTTTCAAAATGTCGCCCAGTTCATCGAGGACCGGTTCCTGCCGTCAGGGGAATCTGAAGTAGAAGTTTAGTATGGTACCTTGTAGAAGCGGGACGATTGCTCTGATGACCTGGGCATCTGCTGTCCTAATTCCCAACCGTTTCAAAGCTGATCTGTAGAAGCAGACATGGGCGGGGGCCCCCAAACCTGGCCTCAAGTCTGAGACTTCACCCGTTGCAGGAGAGCGTGCGGGACAAGGCTTGCGAAAGCACGTCGCTCGAACTGCAGAAAGTCCCGACTTTTCCGGCGAATAGCAGCTAAGCCATCCTCTGCTTCATCTGTTCCTCGGAAGTCGTTTAAAACTCGCGGTCTTTATGTACGTACAGCCCCAGAATAAACTGAATAGTGAACAAGGTGGTGTATTGAAGCGATCCCAGAGATTCCAATGTCCTTTAATTAAGGAATATTCCTTAAATCATATTAGGGATCCTATTATAGTTGAAGGAATAGTCCCTAATTAAGGAATATTGGAGTCTCTGGGATAGCCTGTTTGCTGAAATAAGTCCGGCTCCGATAGGATCTGCAACTCGCGCACCTAAACCTCCACAACTCCCAGCGATAGTGTTATAGTATACTGTAGTATATTATAGTCTACTGTAGTATGTTATAGTCTACTGTAGTATATTATAGTATACTGTAGCATATTATAGTATACTGTAGTATATTATAGTATACTGTAGTATATTATAGTATACCGTAGCATATTATAGTACACTGTAGTATATTATAGTATACTGTAGTATATTATAGTATACTGTAGTATATTATAGTATATTGTAATTAGTAGCTTATAGGAGGCAGGGAGAGCATAACGACAGATTGACAACTTTCCGTGGCTTTCGAGGCGGAACATGGCGCTTCTCCGGAACGACGTGTTTCTTGGAAGAAAGACGGATATGCAGGTGTTGCACGGATATGAACCCAAAGCCCTAAACCCAAAAACTTGTGTGCGTCGTCGTCAAGTCCCACCTACGCTTCTAAAGTCGTGCTTCCGGAATCAAGAATGCCTGTAAGGGATCGTGGAACCGTTTCGCTGCGTGCATTCTCGGTCCATGGAGTTGGAACCTAATATAGGGGCCTTCAAAATTACCTATACCCTAAACCCAAAATCCTAAACCCCTACAACCCTGACCCTAAACCCTGAACCTTAAACCCACTTAGAGGATCATGGGACTTAGTAACTAGGGTTATAAGTAAGGTAACTATACTTATAACTGATAACCCCAATTAAGGTACTTATGACCTTACGTACTAAGTCCCATGATCCTCCAAGTAAGCCCTAAATCCTAAAGCACCGGAACAGGCAAGAGCTCCTCCGCCTGGAGACCGCAGGGAATGTGCGGCTGTTGAAGCAGCGCTGTGAGCGCAACCAGGCGGGGGCGACGGAGAAGAGGGGGTTTAGGGTTTATAGGGTTTAGGGTTTAGGGTTCAGGGCTTAGGGATTAATTAAACCTTAGGCCGCAAACCTAAACGCCCTAACCCTGAACCTCTAAAACCCCAAACCCTAAACCTCTGAACCCCTAAAGCCCTAAACCCTTATAGTAGCCCTTATAGCAGCTTGACAGTACCCTTATAGTACCGTTGTAGTACTCCGTATAGGAACCCTAAACCTTGTGGAAGCCAAGCCAACTTAAAGGATCATGGGACTTAGCAAGCAAGGTTATACACACCGTAACTGTTTTTATAAGTATAGTTACCTTAGTTATAACCCTAGTTACTAAGTCCCATGATCCTTTAAGTATGCCTTCAATCAATACCCATATAGAACCCTTAATAGGAACCCTTACAGATCCCTCAAAGGAACCCCTGTAAGGGAACCCTAGTTACTAAGTCCCATGATCCTTTAAGAAGGACTTCAAGCAGTTCAAGCTGAAAGTCACCACTCGACGAGGGGACGCAGCAACGCAAGCACGACTTGGAGGCGGGAACGCTGAAGATGCAGGGAGTCGGTTTAGGGTTTAGGGTTTTTGGGTTTAGGGGTTTAGGGTTTAGGGTTTAGGCTTAGGGTTTAGGGATTTAGGGTTTAGGGGTTTAGCGTTTAGGGGTTTAGGGGTTTAGGGTTTAGGGGTTCAGGGTTTAGAGGTTTAGGTGCAAGATGCAAGGAGAGTGCGCGACCCCAACATGGGTTGTGTAGTTCCCACATGCAAACCCTAAAACCGTAAGCCCCACAAACCCTAAAACCCTAAACCCTAAACCCCTAACCCCTAAACCCCTAAGCCCCTAAACCCTAAAGCCCTAAAATCCCTAAACCCTAAACTCGGGTGCTCGGCAATTACCATGCAAATAGTCCAAGACTTGCAAATATACTCAAAGGCTCGTGGGACTTAGTAAGTAAGGTGAAAATTAGGTCATAAATAGGATAGCCCCACTTAGGGGACTTATAACCCCAGTTATAACATACTTACTAAGTCCCATGATCCTTGAAGTAAGTAGGGTCATAAGTCCCTAGTATGGGTTGTAACTATGGTTACCAGACTTATAACTACCTATGAACCTCCAAGTAGATGCAGCGCGCAGGTGTCCGCTTCGCCTCAGAAGGAGCGAGGGGCCCAGTGCGGCATGAGATCCAAAACTTAGCCTGGGTTTAGGGTTGTAGGGGTTTAGGGGTTTGGGGTTTTAGGGGTTTAGGGGTTCAGGCTTTAGGGTTTAGGGTCTGATTTGAAACGACAGCGAGCTTTGCAACTTCGGTCATGCAATGTCTACGAAAACAACACGTGTGCAAAGTGTGGGCGGGGAGTACCGGTACCTTGCAAGTGGGGCGACCCCCGCTCACCCCCTCGTCCCGCATGTCTCCAAGCCGAGCTAATCTGAAAGGTTGAAGCCATCTACAAGTATGGTTTAATGGACGGAACGAATGTCCAGACGTGGTTCTGCTTGCGAACTCCAGTGCCGATCCTGACAACGCACAATATACAAGACAGAACACATCTTCTGGAATGGTCATTGCTACTATCACTCTTGCTACTATCTTTACTTGTATCTTTACTTTTTGTCGTTTTTGTTACTACTGTTGTTGCTATTGTTAGTTTTGTGATTGTGATTATTGGTCTGATTCGTATTACTTTCATTGCAGGGAGAAAGCCAGTCTTCGTGTTTTTCGCTTCCGCCCCTTTGAGTTCAGTGGCCTGAAAACCAGGTCACCCGGATCCCCACGAGCATCTCCGACAAGGCGCAAGGGCCGTGCGCAAACGTCCAGGTCAGACATGTGGGTGCTCTAGTGTAGGGGTCGGAACTTTTTAGCAATGTCATTTGTCACATGCTATGTCCCTAGACCCTCAACCCAACACCTTAAACAGCAGCTTTTTCGCTCCTTTGAAGCCCTCCTGCTTCTGAGGCCGCCGATGGGGACTATTTGATTTCAAACAGTGGCTTTTTGCTTATAAGCCTGGCACCCGGGCATTCCCACATCAATGGACAAAGTGTGCATCCATGTCTTGCTCATAGATCCATGCTACTGCTTAAAAACCCCAAACTCCTCAGAAGACCTTACATTGGAGTATATTATCAAAGTATTTCATCGTAAGAATATAACTTTAAACAATGCAGTATTGTATTACATTATCAAACTGAACTATATTTGTTATACTACATTCTGTGATATGTGATATGATATGATATTAACCTGCTTTCACTATATTGTATGATATTTTGACATATCATATCATGTTATGTTGTACTATGACACTATATGCTACCTTATTTGTATATTTTGTGTTATGCCATGCTATATCAAATTACAACGCATCCCATTCTATATTGCATTTTATCATGTTATGGGATTTTGTATTATGTCATGACACATCATATTCCGTTGTGTTGTCTATTATCTGTTTTCTGTTGCAATGTCTTACGTTCTATCACATTAAGTTATAAGGTATTATGTCATGTTATACTATGTTATGTTTTGTTATGTCATATTTGTTATATTCGCTTACTTTTCGTTGTGTCATAACAGTTTATATTATACTACTTTGTAGAACATTTCATTATGCTTCATCATAATATATTGTAGTATGTTGTATAATATATTCTTATCCGATATTATATCTCATCATATCGTGTTAGACCATGTCATATCGCAATATAATATACACCTACAATTGCAGGGTATATGGCATCCTATCGTATTGTATCATGTTGTATTACGTTATCGTATATATATATATATTTGTTTTGAAAGTTGCGGTATTATTATTTTTTAATATGTTGCACTGTGTTATATGACTTGATGTTTTGTGTTTTCTGTTTTATTGCTTCATATAGTATTATGCTAGTTATAGCTTCTAATGGCTTGTTATGTTTTGTTGTGTTGTGTTATTGTATGCTGTGATGTAATATGTCATATTATGACATCTGACATATCTCATTTTGCCATGTGCTCCACTATTATATTAGACAGCATAGCATTCTAGTGATATAGCATTATAGTATAATATAATCTAGTATATTACATCATGTTATTTGCATTATATTATATTTTAATGTATATTTTCTGAGAACCTATACTATTTTATATTTCACTATATCACATGATAACATATTCTGTATCATGGTATATTTTATTGTATTGTATTGTATTACATGAAATCTCTTAAAATATCTTATATTGTTTCAAGCTACACAACATCAGGTAATATCTAAGTGTTTCCATTCTACTCTATTCCTATTCTGTTCTGTTCAGTGTTGTCGTACGTGATCGTATATTCCCCCTAAGGTCGGTTGACGCTGGTTTGCGTAAACTTGCATGCTGAGGCTTTGACGCGCCTGTGTCAGTAACAGACTTCTCCTTCCTGCTGACCCAGACGATTGCGAATGCGCACGAGGTTTAGGGGGTTTAGGGTTTAGAGTTTTGGGATTGGTTTAAAGTAAAAGCCAGAAAGTTGGAATATGATTATCCTAAACCCTTTATGGCAAATTATAGGGGATCCTACCATTAATCCATATTCCAACTTTCTGGAGTTCCCTTTAAGGTTTGGGATTGGTTTAGGGTTTAGGGTTTGGGGGAGTTTGGGTTCAAGGAGCTTGCGAAAGCGGACGAGGTCGCCAACAAACTGAGCCCACCTCTCTTCATAGGGACCCTTAGTGTTGTAGTATCCTTAAGGGAGGGGGGTCCAAGGGGGGTATATAGCCTAGTGATCCCTAATTCTCCCTAGTACTCCCTAATGTTCCCTCACAGTCCCCTAAGGATTCCTTATACCCTCCCCCCTGAAACCACCCTCCCTTAAGGATCCTATAAGAGTGGGATGGTGGGAAGGGGGTGGGGGGACTATACTTCCTTGAATGGGCCTTATTAGCTCCTTATTATGGGTATTACGGCCCCCTTACCCCTCCTCCCCCTAAACCCTAAACCCTGAACCCTAAACCATCAGGGTCCCTATGATCTCTTGGAACGTCAAAGCCGAGTCAAAGCCCCGTTTTGGTGGAGGATCCCGTTGCTTTTCGACTTTATGGCCATGATGTGTCTTGGCCGATTCAAGAAAGGTTTAGGGTTTTAGGGTTTAGGATCTTAGGGTTCCAGGGTTGTAGGGTTTTAGGGTTTCAGGGTTGTAGGGTTTTAGGGTTGTAGGGTTTTAGGGTTGTAGGGTTTTAGGGTTTATTGGCCGATCTTTGAGTGGCGACTTCGTTGAAGGTTGCCTAATGGCCCTACTATACTGTCCATCTACGTTTACTTGGATATGTTTACTGCTATGACAGTGTTGAGGGTTTTATGGCTTAGGGACATAGGGTTTTAGGGCTTTATCAATATTTGTACTACTGTTACTAGCATATAGTATGACTATAACATACATGCTTACTACAACCTGCCATTACCATAATCTTCTATTACTAGAATACACTGTCATTATAACATACTACTACGTATTACTGTATTATACTGTTACTAGATACATCTTTGCAAAGCCTCGCGGCACGCCTTGGGGCCGGAGAAGAGTGGACTCCGTAAACTTGGAAGATACACTGTAGGGTTTAGGGTTTAGGGTTTAGGGTTCCCCAAGCTACTATAGTCTACAATAATATACGATAATCTACTAAAGGGAACTCCAGAAAGTTGGAATATGGTTTCAGGGTAGGATACCCTATAATTTACCATAAAGGGTTTAGGATAATCATATTCCAACTTTCTGGCTTTTACTTTATTACATGTCCATAATACACACTTTTGGCAGATTCCCGCTTCTTCGAGGAGGAGGGCCCGCATCCTGCCTCAGAAACAGAAGGGGAGAGGGTTTAGGGTTGCTGTAAGGGGTACTATTAAGGTACTATAAGGGTACTGTCAGGGTGCTAGAAGGGGTACTATAAGGGTTTGGGGTTTGGGGCTCAGGGGTTTTAGGGTCTAGGGTTCCAGCGATCGTTGCCAGAAATGGAGCACAGAGGGGCCCTTCAAGAGCTTGCTTGCAGGGCACAAACCCCGATGCCCTGCTACTAGACTTCGAGATGGATGATCCTACCAAGTGCTGCCGGCCATGTTTGGTGTAGGGATTGTCTGTGCCTTGCCAGAAATCTCAGAGCTAAGCCCCTAAACCCTAAACCCAGAAAGTCCTTCCACACAGAGGCATAGGCTCCCCCTGGTAAGGAATTCTTGCTGTACACCAGTCGGGAAAAGAGCTCTCAAAAACAAACAACTTTCAGAAATCACGAAAGCCACACATCCAGGCGCCAGCGCTTTAGCAGGGCCGGAGAAGCTCCAGAAAGTTTCGAACTATTATGGTTCAGAGAATGAATGCTGGGGGCGGGGAAGGGCAGTATTGAACGGAGAACTTTTCAAGGCTGAGGGAAGGGGCTGCTACTGTTGAGGAGTCAATGTTGACCAAATCTATCTTACATGGATCAAGAAGAAGAGCAGCAACAATGACGACGACGTGGCCACCCGTCAGTGGCAGAGGGCACCATTGTCACCTGTGACAGCTGCGAGATCATAGGCAAGAGAGACACCGGCCGGTGTTTTGCCAGCTACAGGAGAAGGGTGGCGATATGCTACGTTGATGAAAAACATCCTGCATTACCCATAATAAGGAATATACCATAATTTTCATAGTCTAGGGTCATAGTGGTAATGCGGGGTGTATATCATCGGCCGTATGATATGCTCCTGACCCGTGAGATGAGTCCGACAGGACTGAAGGATTCACGAGAAATGCTAGTGACGGCTCACAAGGAACGACTATCAGGTGGGTCTTCACGGGGCATGCTACTCCCACTCGCATGTCAGATTACGTGCGAGGCTCCTCTCCCGAAACGGTGTTGCAGGTTGGTCGTATAATACATCACAACTACTGTTTTCTAGTGCATGCTTATACTGTCTTGGGGGTTCCGTATTATAGCTATAGTATAATGGGCCCCACATGTAATTCTTTAGGCCCTTATGTTACTCTCCGATAAACTGAACGTGGCTCTCAAGCTTAGGCGGTTTCAGTAAAACAAAGCCAGGCAGATCACCTCCGTGCCGACTTCCGTTCGTCAAGCGTGGTCGCCATGGCTTGGACTGCTAGGCTCGTGTGCAATTTATCAGGAATAGGAGGCATCCGAAGAACAGTGCTTAGGGACATTTTGGATTGCCAAGCATGCGCTAGTAACTGGTAACACTTAACTCTAACCCCTAAACCCTAAACCCCTAAACCCCTAAACCCCTAAACCGCTAAACCGTAAACCCCAAACCCTAACCCAGGAATTTTCAATCTAAAGCTTGCTGCCCCAGGTGGCGCTGAAGGCTACTCATGGAACGACGAGCAGGGCATCTGTCAGAAGAAGTCGCCCTGCTGGACAGTCAAGGAGCGGTGAGAGAACACCTTAAGGTTTAAGTTACCATAACAACATCTATAGTAAATAGTATGGTTTCCTTACTATAGTAACTCAACTTAAATCCCCAAACCCCTAAACCCCTATAGAACCCTTCGAGTAACCCCCTCGCTTCTTTTGTTCAACTCGAAACCCGGACCCCAGGCTCATCCTCGAAGTTCCTTCCTTATTTGGGAGTTTCCGAAGATTAGGGGTACCTTATTTGGGGGTCCTTATAATAAGGATCCTACTATCCCCTTAAAGGAACCCTTGCAGATCCCTATTGTGGAAATTACCCAGAGCCTCCAAAACCCTTTAATTAAGGAATATACCTTAAATCATAATAGGATCCCTAATATAGTTTAAGGTATATTCCTTAATCAAGGGGTTTTGGAGGCTCTGGGTACTTCTTTCTTCTTGAAGAAGGCTCTAGACTCTAAGCAAGTTTCACAGGGATGAAAGATGTGGCGCCCCCACAAACCCTAAACCCCTAAACCCTAAACCCCTAGACCCTAAACCCTAAAGAAAAATGTGGCGCTTTAAGGGCGAAGTGTGGCTCAATGGACTGCCGACTCCTCGGGCCTTTCGGGAGCGCGACTGGGCTCTTGGTAAGTTAAGGATTTTAAGCTATCTTGATTTAGAGCTTCCTTTAAGGGATCCTTTTAAGGGGTAACTCTAAGAATCCTGTAGGGGTTTAGGGGTTTAGGGATATAAGTTAAGTTACCATAGCAAGGAAACCCATACTATTTACTATAGATCTTGTTATGGTAGCTTAAACCTTAAGGAACCCTGTGTAGATCCCCTTAAAGGAACCCTTGCAGATCTCTATTGTGGTAATTACCCAGAGCCTCCAAAACCCCTCAATTAAGGAATATACCTTAAACTATATCAGGGATCCTATTATGATTTAAGCTATATTCCTTAATCAAGGGGTTTTGGAGGCTCTGGGTAAATACGAAACCAGAACCCAGGTGAATCCGCGAGAGGCTTCATCTTTCTGTGCCTCGGCAAAAGGGGAAAACCTGCGGGGGTTTTTGGGGTTTAGGGTACAGGGTTTAGGATTTAGGGTCTAGGGGCTTAAGGGGGTATAAGGGGTTTGAGGGGCTTAAGGGGGTATTAGGGGTTTGAGGGGTTTTGGGGTTTAGGGTCTAGGGGCTTAAGGGGGTATTAGGGGTTTGAGGGGTTTTGGGGTTTAGGGTCTAGGGGCTTAAGGGGGTTTTAGGGGTTCGAGGGGTTTTAGGGGGTTTTTTAAGGGGTATTGGGAGTTTGAAGGGTTGTAGGGTTTTGGGTTTTGGACAAGAAACCGTCCAGCTGTCCTGAAGTCCTCAGGGAGGCTGATATTCCTGACAAGACTTAAGACTTAAGACACCGCTGCTGATGATCTCTTGCGGTCTGCACTGAAACCTGGAGAGGAGGGCCCATGTTCAGGCACTGGCGAGGTCTGCACAGTCGATGACCGTGAGAAGTGCTGCCACGAGCTCGAGATTTACCTTTCTGGGGATTGAGACTTCGGAGGCGTTTGTGAAGCTGAAGCTCTAAGCCCGGACGACCTGAGGTTCAGATGCAAGATATTCCAGGCGTTTCATGCTCATAATGACGCAGCATCAGACTGGATCGCGAACGACGACGGCCATAACAGCCGTGCTCTCAGTTGAGTGGCAGCTGTGTAGGGCAGTGGTGCCAAGAGCTAGGAGTTCCTGAGGCGCGAGTGAAGGGCGTGACCTCCGCTGGAGACGTTTATGACACGGACGACTACTTCAATCCTGGGGCTGGGAACAGCGCCGAAGCGAGGAACTTCTTTATCACAGGCGCTAGTCAATATTGGGAGGGCCAACTTACAGTGCCGCTTCTTGGATGCGTTGACAGATTTCTGTGCTGAGCTTGAGTTTCAGTTGTTGACCCGGGCGAGGTGTGTGCAAACCACATTTTGCCAGCCAACATTTGGGTGGTGGTCAAAATTTTGGTCCCTTTTTTGGCTTTTGGGTCCCTATAAAAATGCGTCACCTATTATTTAGGGTACCCAAAAAGGGGACGTTAATTTTGACAACTACCCATTTAGGGCTTGCAGTGGCGGTCGGTCGTCCTTGGAGTTGAGACTGGCTGGGAGAAATTGAAGTCTTGTCTTCTAAAAGGATCACGGGACTTAGTAAGGAAGGTTATATGTACTTTATTTGGGGTTATAAGTAGTTATAGGTCTGGTTACCTTACTTATAACCCTAGATGCTAAGTCCGATGATCCTCTAAGTTCGTGCGTCGGCTGCTGTTGCCGTGCAGGTTGTCCAAGGAGAAAGGTTGCGCAGTGCTAGGCTTGCTGAAATGGGAGCTTCCGAAAATTAGGGGTATCTTCCTGTGGGGTCCTGATAATAAGGATCCTACTATTTAGGGTGCTATATTAGGGTCCCTGAAGTCATGCGAGCCAGGCGATGATTCAAGGTATAATTTAACTTGCAATGAGTGGATAGAGACCTGTGACTTGTCCAAGTCGCCAGCAGAAGAACGAGGAATTCGCATAGCAGAGTGGTCAATTAAGCCTGCGGAGAGACAGCAGGTACCCGCATGCTTCGCCCACCTGGTTTGTTTCTCTTCAGCCCATCGCGTAGCAGCAATTGTGGATTTTGTGAGAACTGAGGTTGCCAGTGGGAGGCAACGAGGATATCCGGATCACACAGCTCTGCCTCACTATGTCGGGGTTTGGCGCGGATTATCGCGATATCCCTGAGAGTGTCTTCTACCCGAGTTCCGTCAAGATATTGAATACTGAAGGGTCCCGATCTGTGGAGATTACAGACCTGACAGGCCAGTGTGTGTGTGTGTGTGTGCGTGTGCGTGCATGCGCGTGTGCCTGCGTGCGTGCGTGCGTGCGTGCGTGCGTGCGTGCGTGCGTGCGTGCGTGCGTGCGTGCGTGCGTGCGTGCGTGCGTGCGTGCGTGCGTGCGTGCGTGCGTGCGTGCGTGCGTGCGTGCCTGCGTGCCTGCGTGCCTGCGTGCCTGCCTGTGCCTGCGTGCCTGCGTGCCTGCGTGCCTGCGTGCCTGCGTGCCTGCGTGCGTGCGTGCGTGCGTGCGTGCGTGCGTGCGTGCGTGCGTGTGTGCGTGTGTGCGTGTGTGCGTGTGTGCATGTGTGCGTGTGTGCGTGTGTGTGTGTGTGTGTGCGCGTGCATGCGCGTGTGTGTGTGTGTGTCTCTCTGTCTGCCTGTCTCTCTGTGCGTGTGTGTTTGTGTTATTCTGCTGTACATGCGACAAACTCTGCTCCACATGTTTTTTGCGCATGATGTTTTCAACGAGAATTGCTATTTCCGCAGGGGGACAGGGCTCTCTGGTACTTACCCTGTCCAACGAAGCTGGGTACCATGAGGGAAGCCTGGACTGATCATCCAGGTGTACCTGCACAAAAAAAGCTGGGCCCCTGCGCCAGCAAGATTAGCGAAACGATTTCCAGATTTTCGAGGCAGGTGTTAGGTTTGATATTTGCAGTCAAGTTCTTTGCAGTCATGTTCATGAGGGCATGTGCACTGAAGCTGTTACATATATTGACCTCGATATCAAGAAGGTGGGACTGCAGAAAGCCTCCTCAGTTGTGTTCGGCAAGAGCTCCCTCATGAGGGCCTTGTCGTTATTCGGCGAAGTTGCCGGCCCACCGGGGTGCTTGTGTTAGCGGTCTGGAGATCATTTCCGTCTCACAACATGTTCAAGTGGAGATCACTGAGTGGAAATCACAATTCAGGAAATCAGCTCGGAGTGGCGTCCGGAGATCACTGACGATTGCATTCGTTGTCATGTTCAGACATTTTCTGGCTTGAGACGTGCAGTCAAGTGTTGTTTCAGCACCCTGCCATGGATCGTGAGCGCTCCCCTCGTCGCAATCCCTATTGGAGCTCCTCCCTTCCTGCTCCGGTCCCACCTACCCCAGTGAGTTGGCAGAACCCTGCACCCCGTCCGGCCCCACCAGTGAATCGCCCGGCAGTGCTTCAGCCACAAAACCTCACGTGGCAGCCTAATCCACGTGTTGCACAAATTATGAACATTTCGCCGACCCTCGCATCCCCGGCCTTCCTTCCCCACCCGCTGCCAATTCCCCACCTGCCGCCAATTCGCCCAGAGTTTTCGTACCGATGCTACCCGCTGAGTTCTGCCAGAATCCGAACTATTTGGACTCCCGCTGTATTGCAGGCTTGAACTTGGCTCGTTGGGTCAAGAAGACTGACTGGACAGTTCGAAAGCAGATCGACGGTTGCCCAACACATATGATTCCGCTCCATTCGCTGCTTTATCAAGGTTGGAATTCTTATTGGGTTCGCCATATTGCAGAAGGCAAGCCGACTTTCTTCGCAGGTTTCAAGTCGATCGGTGAGATTGTATTCTGTCATGCACTGTTCGGAAAGTTGCGAGATGAAGAAGTCGACTTGGATGAGCTTGCTTCTATTGTGCTTGGCTCCACTGATCCCGCTTCAAAAAGCAGTGGTTCGGACTCGAAGTCGCATGCCACACATTTGTTGGCCCAGAAGGTTGTCGACTACATGTTAGGTTTGTATCCTCAAGCCCCGGTCGACGCGGAAAAGACAGCTATGGCGAATCAGATTCAGATTCTTCAACAGCAACTTGCGAACTTTGAGAAGGCTTCTCCTCCCCGCACGTCTAACCCGGGTGTCGCAGAACAGAAAGGGTTGCCGATTGAAGAAAGCCCCCCGGGACATGTGCAAGAGTCAGCACCTTCTGCCCAAAAGGTTCCTGATGGTGCAACTCGTCTTCTTCGTGGTCAGACAGTTGAGCCCAAAAGCAATCTTATGCAGGCCTTTCAGAAAGGCAAACCGTCGGTGAGCCAGGCAGAACCGCTGAGCATTGAGAACGGTGAGGTCGAGACCCAGGATCGCAGTCCAGGAAGTTCGAGTTCTGCACCTCAACTTGAGTACGGCACATCCTCGCATGTTGGACAAGTTGTCAAGACAGTTCTCACGGACCCGTCCAAAAAACACTTCTTGACACGCAGTTGGAAGACTTGCAAGTCGGACAAGGAAGTGTTGACATGGATTGAGGGATTGAACTTGAGCAAAAGCAATCGCAAGAAGCTTGAAACATGGACAGCTCATGTCCAACGATGGCATGCGGACCTTCCTTCCAACGAGCAGGCCGAATTGGATCAGGTTGTTGCCAACTGGGGCGTACCCATCCGTGATATTCCCAAGCTTAAAGCAAATTCTTTGCTGCGTATCCTGGCTGCCGGAACGATTCTTGTGGCTTGACTACAAGCCCTACTGGATGCCAGAGAATCATATCGCAGTGGAAATCCACCACAAGGATGGTGGAGACAGCACCCCAGTGAAGTTGACTTGCTTCGGAATGCTCATCTATTTTTCCAGAGTGTCTACCAGACACCCACCATGTTCGGACGACAATGCATGGACATTGTTATTTGGGTTCGTGGCGAACTTCTTTTGCTTGCGTGTGAGTTCGGGCTTGTACAGTCGCCGTTGACCTCTCTGCTTCGTTCAAAATGCTCCAGCTACACCTGGAAATTCTTTCAGACCAAGTCGGTGATTTATTGCCGCATCTTTCTCCAGCCTGAGTTACAGAATTTCATGTATGTCGGATCATCATCCCAAACGTTGGGCGAATGTGAGCGCACTAGATGGGGGAAGTACCAACAGATCTGTGCGGGTAAATCTGTATGCGGTGAACTCTCGCTATTTTGGCACTATCGACGTCGGAACTATCACATGGCCATTCCCTTGTTGATTATGCATGTCCCACAGGCCGATTGCTTGCATACAATTGAGCAGACGCTCATCAACTTGTTGCAGCCACGCCTCAATGCTCCTTGGGTACGTTCCCTGGTGAGAGCTAAACATGCGCAGATTGCCAACTCCGACCCTGTCAGGTGTGTTCGCAGATTTGTGACTTCGTGGAGAACTTTCCGACGTTTCCGACGTCGGAACGTCCAGCTTACTGGACTGACTCCCTCGGTCTTCCGCTCAACACACATTGTTCAGAACATCGTCTACAGTTATCAGATTCTGTTCGATTTGGCTTCTGACGGTCTCAAGTCCTTTCTTGCCCAGAAGTATCTGTGCAGCAACAGAGTTGATTCGGACTTTCTTTACAGACTATTTCGGATGGCCACCCATCTGGGTGACCCTTTCTACGAGACGATCTGTCGGTCCAGATTGAACACTGTGCTGCAATTTCGGCAGTTGAGGTGCCCGGCTACATGTCGCCCGCTGTCCACTCCGTTCTTATTACCAGAGGCAGGATTCAAACGCTTGGTCCGTGGCATGTTGGCCGATATTCTGGACGTATCGTCGGACCGGTTGCTACCATACCATATTCCGGCGACCTCGCTTGTTGCAAAAAGTCATCCCAAAATTCGAGAGGTTCCGTTTTCGCACAAAAGAATCTTGCAGTTGTGGGACCCGCATGAAGACCCACAGCAGGCCGGTGTCGCTTGCTGTTGCTCCGAGATTCTTCGACATCATCCACACCTGACAGTGGTTCAAGGTCATGTTGCATCTTCTGCTACATTGCTGTCGTTGCCGGATGAACTGACTCA